TCCAGTCTGCCAAGGTCTTTCTATCTTGAATGTGGTATGACTGACAAAATCCCAGTATTTTGGAATTGCCAAAGAAGAGTCCATGGCAGTAAAAATGATTGCTGTGATTAATGGCCACAAACCAATATCAATACAGGTGGTTTGTTTCTGCCTTTCTGCCTGTTTTTCACTATGCCACTGTAATTTTTAATAAAAATATTTGAGCTGTAACTGGTTCCCAGACTGGGAGATCCGATTGCAAAACATGCAAGAACTTATATCTGCTTAAAAATGCAGTTCTCAGCTTTTGGATGTTAATCAGAATCCCTTTCTTTTGTCTTTTTAGCTACAATCCTGTTCATTTAACTAATAGCCTGTTTTCTCCTATCTCTCTGACCGGTCGCAGTCGGTGTTGGCAGGGGGGCAGAGGTCGACCCCGAGGTGCCTCGTTTGTGGGGTGCCGCAAGGGTCGGTCCTCTCGCCCCTTCTGTTCAACATTTATGTGAAGCTTCTGGGCGAGATCATCCATGGCTTTGGGGTGGAGTTCCATCAGTACGCTGATGATACGCAGCTGTACATCTCCACCCCAGGCCATCCCAACGATGCCCTTGAAGTGATGTCCCGGTGCCTGGAGACTGTGCGGATCTGGATGGGGAATAACAGGCTTCGACTCAACCCTTCCAAGACCAAGTGGCTGTGGCTTCCGGTGTCCCGATATAGCCAGCTGGTGCCAATGCTGGCTATTGGGGGCGAATCATTGGCCCCCACGGAGAGGGCTCGCAACTTGGGCATCGTCCTGGATACACGGCTGTCTTTGGAAGAGCATATGACGGCCGTGGCCGGGGGGGCTTTTCATCAGGTCCGCCTGATTCGCCAGTTGCGGCCCTTTCTGGATCAGGACTCCTTACGCACAGTCACTCAGGCACTCGTCACTTCCCGCCTGGACTACTGCAATGCTCTCTACATGGGGCTCCCCTTGAGGAGCACCCGGAGGCTCCAACTGATGCAGGATGCGGCCACGCGGGGGATTATGGGAGCAAGAGGGCGCTCCCATGTGATGCCTCTCCTGCACAAGCTGCATTGGCTTCCAGCAGTCTTCCGGGTGCGCTTCAAGGTGTTGGTCACCACCTTTAAAGCGCTCCATGGCATCGGACCTGGGTATTTGCGAGACCGCCTTCTGCCGCCGATAGCCTCCCACCGACCAGTATGCTCCCACAGAGAGGGACTCCTCAGGGTGCCGTCAGCCAGGCAATGTTGGCTGGTGACCCCCAGGGGGAGGGCCTTCTCTGTGGCAGCACCTGCCCTCTGGAACGATTTGCCCCCGGAGATATGAAAGATACCAGATCTCCGGGCCTTTCACCGTGCCCTAAAAACTTTTCTTTTCCATCGAGCAGGGCTGGCATGAAACCCCCCCCCCTCTTTTTTAGCTCTTTTTAGCTTTTTAGCTTTTTAAGTGTAAATTGGGTTCTAAATTGGATTGTTTTAAATTGTGGGCCAAAGCTGTATAATTCTTTTAATTGATTTTAAATTTTGTATTGGTATGTTTTTTATCCTTGGCTGTGCACCGCCCTGAGTCCAGTAGGAGAAGGGCGGTATATAAATTATATGAATAAATAACAACAACAACAACAACCATAAATGCAGTCTGGCGCTATTTCTTTTCTTTTTACGAATAGTTTCAGTAGCTTAAATCAAGAGGGAAAGGGCATTTTGGTCTTTTGTAGCATTGTTGGACTAAGAAGGAAGGCTTGGATGCTCTGATTCTAGTTCAGTCATCATTTAGATGCATAGGGAGTCAGGGAGGGATGAACAGGCACAAGTCCTTAATTAATTTCTGAATGTATGAGATCAGCACTTGAAACTAATCAATTAAGAGCTCTGGGAAACATTCCGGTAGGATATTTGTATGTAGCAAGAGACTTCAAGACAGCCAAGGAACCTGACAAATCTTTGTCTATCTTGTCAGACTATCTGACAACCAGGTGGCATTGCTCATGCAATCGTTCTTTTTACCTATCATATATTACAGCACTCAAAGAGCTGAGAGTTCAGCTCTTGCTTGACACCTCAGAACATCTGTCAGATGGGCCTATTTTAATTGGGAGAATTTTGAGAGATATCAGCTCTCAAACCTACTGCTGCTGGTTTTTTCTTTGGATATATTGGTGTTTGTACAAGTAGTCCTCAACTTACGACCACAATTAACCCTAAAATTTCTGTTGCTAAGTGAGACATTGGTTACGTGAGTTTTGCCTCATTTTGCGATTTTTCTTGCCACATTTTTTCAGTGAATCACTGCAGTTCTTCAGTTAGTAACATGGTTGTTAAGTGAATCTGACTTCCCCATTGACCTTGTTTGTCAGAAAGTCACAAAAGTGTTCACATGACCCTGGGAAAGATGCTGAGACATTGGAAAAAGTGCAGAGAAGAGCAACTAGGATGGTTAAAGGCCTAGGGATTAAACATATGAAGAACGGTTGCAAGAACTGGGTATAGCTAGTCTAGGGAAAAGAAGGACTAGAACTGACCTGATAGCAGTATTCCAGTATTTGAGGGGCTGCCACAAAGAGGGGGTTCAACTTATTTTCCAAAGCACCAGAAAGCAAGACAAGAAACAATGGATGGAAACTTGCCAAGGAAAGAAGCAACCTGGAATTATATAGAAACTTCCTAATAGTGAGGACAATTAACCAATGGAACAACTTGCCTTCAGAAGTTATGGGTGCTTCATCACCCTGAATTGAAAACACTAAGGGGCAGTTAAAAACTATCTTCTACTCCTCTCCCTCTTTGATCTGAACTCAGTAATACAGTCTTCCCACAAGTCCAATTTAGTAAAAAAATCTTCCTTTGGCTAAATGAGTTACATGTCTTTCATTAGTGGCAGTGGGTAGAAGCAGTGTTTAGCCTCTATAGTTCACACATAGACGCAGGGACCTGTCCTTTTTCTCCCAGAACAGTAATGGGGCGGCCATCCTAGGTTGAGCCAGCTGGATAAACCCCTGCTTCAGGTTTTTGTCTTTAAAAAGCCATATATACTCCAACTCCAACTAGACATCATCAAGTATAATTTGGGTTTGAGTAGTTTAGCCCCTGGCAGGATTTCTATGGGGCAGTCCATTAGCTGGTGGGGTAAGAGTTCATCTGAGCCCTTCTAAATGCATCCTGCAAATCCTGGTACTCCGATGGAATTCCGTAGCCACGCTAGTCTGAGGGGTCACGCTAGTCTGCCTGGGGTCACAATAAAACTCAGAGTCTCTGGGGTCATCCTTATCCTCCTTTCTATTAGCTCGATATCTCCCTTGCTTCCGAACCATCTAATTGGCAGAATGCCACTAGTACATTGAATGGTCTAAGTCTTACCCCTAGTTTCTCCACTAGGGCGGGGTTGACTAAGCACTTGGTGCAACCTAAGTCCAGAAGGCCCATTAGGCCAACTTTATGTCTTGAAGATTGGATTATCCAGTTCAATGGGGACTTTCACCAGGGTGATCAGGCCACTTACCAGGGGGTCGTCATTACAATCACTATCGCTCTCCCCCAATTCTTCCGCTTTGCTAGTCAGAGTTCTCTTGCCATCCCTGGGGGATAGGGTGAATTCTACGACCTTCACTCCTTCCAGGGCTGTCTCACGAGCTCGCAGTGGTGGCTTGGCAGTCTTTTTGGTGGGCCCCAGGGTTGTTCTCTGGGCAGGTCAATTGGATCTGCACTCAGAAGCCTGGTTCCCCTCCTTTACATACTTGAAACAGGCTGTGGAGTGTCACTGAGGACCCTGGGCAACTGCACTCTTGCGGTTTCTTTCTTCTCTGGAAAGGGTTTTTGCTACCCCTTCCTGGGTGATGCTTGTTTCAGGTGAAGTCAATCTCTACTTCTTCAGCGAGGGCATACCAGCCATAAAGAGGAGGGGGTGCCCCTGGAGATGTAGGTGTTGGAGACCTCACCTGTTAGCCTGTCTTTGAAATAGCCTATCTGGGAGTCTTGTGGCCTATCGTTGAGCTTGGAGGCCAGATCACAGGACTGGATGTACTAGGCCATACTCCTCCAGCCTGGCTGATGGTTATAATGCAGACAAGTCAATTCCCCCTCTCAATTTCCCATCATAAAGCTAAACAGGTTTATTGGGCATTTGTCCCCACTCCCTTCCCCAATTGATGGCAGAACATCAACAAGGCATCAAGCTGAAGGTGGTGGATCTGACATTTTGATAGATAGATAAATAAATAAATAAATATTAAAAAATTAGACAAGACTGTTTGAGGAATTGTCATCTCCAATATCATCTGCCTATCCCACATATTCCCACAGAGAGCATATACTCCATGTTCCTTCTTTTAAATCTTGTCACCTTATAGAATCTAGGAAGTGTACCTTTTTCTATTCTCTGGGACAATTCTTCCTTATGACATATGGCAAGCCCCGAGCACTTGCCTTTTGGAAACCTGTTAGGACCTGGCTGTTTTCCCAAACATTGTCCAATTGAACAAGAATCCACTTTTGGTTCTTTTGTCATGTGTTATGTTGCCATTTTATTTATATTTGTTAATTGTTATGTAGTGTTTTTCTCTTTTTTGATTTATTGTTTATTTTTTATGTGGTTCACTACCCAGAATCATATTGAGTCAGGTGACCTTCTAAATCATATAAATAAATTCTATGTGTCTATGTGTATGGATGTGTGTCTATACACACACACACAGTCATTTTTCCTAATGATTACATTTCAAAAGTGATAGCAATTATCAGTTATGTACAGTGGATATAAAATGTCTCTACTTATGCAAACATGTTACTGTATGCTTTTTATTATTATTTTTACCCTTAAAAGATTTCAGGTGGTTATTCAATTCAATATTACAATTATATTAAATTATATATTGCTATATTAAAAGTGGAAAAAATTCTGAAGTGATTTATCTTAATCTATTTTTGGTAGTTTAATAGGAGTGTGTATTCTTTTTTTATCCTCTAGCTGGATTTAACTTCTATCTCTTTTTCCTTCCCTCTTCCATTAAATTATCTAGGGCAATTATCGCTTTATGAAACTTTTACTTGCTCATAGAGCAAACTGGATGAAGAAGGATTTGGAAGAAATCATTCCTTTACACCTAACTACCCAGCATAAGAGCCCAAAGTGCTTAGCTTTGTTGTTAAAGTATATGGCACCAGGAGAAGTAGATACGCAGGACAAGAACAAGGTAAAAAATGTTTGGTAAACAGAGTTATCTACTTGAAAATATTCTACCAAGACTTTCTCAGAAGCTTTAACCATAGCAATCTATTTAAAATAACTGGTCTATTTTGATGGAATTCATTTGATCATTTTAATATTAAAAATATATCTAAAATCTAGAATCATAAATCTAAATTTAAAATCTCTGGAGAAATCTGGAGTATGTTCTGAATCAATTTAGTCTTTTCATAAATAACGCAAAAAATATTAGCCAGCAAGAAATTAATACCTTGCACTCTATTTCTGCATATCCATAAAACCAATGAAGATTATAGTTGTGCAGTTGGCTATAGTCCGATGCTAACAGCAATTTGCTGTTTTCTGTTAACTAAGTACTTATCTTCAATCGTTTTCAGGCTCTGAAATTTATGAAGATAATTGTTATCTTTAAATAATTTATTTCTATCATTTTAATTTATTATTTTTTAATAATTACAAATTTCCTGAAGAAATTGTTTCAGTGTTATACTTTGTCAGAGTTTGTTGCAGCACACACAATCAGACACAATTAAATGAACTTCAGCAGGATTCAAGTTACATAAGAAACTTCTTTATATACAATACCATACAGGAGAATTCAGCATACAATATCAGGAACACGGAAGCAATATTCATAGAAGCAAGTCATTATAGAGTAGAGAGATACAGAGGCAAATATATTGTACAGAGGCTCCACAATACAGAGGCCAAACCAACTCTTATATACAGTTCAGCAAGTCAAAGCCATGCCAAGACTTCAAACTGTCTCTTTTGGCCCTATACAAACAAATGCTATGTTTCAGTTTCCAAACAGTCCCCATTGGCTGATCTATTCCAGTCTATGAATATTCATACTCTGACATACTTTTTATTATCTTTGTTCACTCTATATTTTCCCTTTCCTTTGAGATGCAGGTTCCTATCTTTTTTCTTAAATACACTGCAAAATGTATTTGGAAACTCGGAGTTGGAAAAGCAATGCTGATAGATTTATGGCACACTTTATCTGTTCTTTTAACAAGAACTAATAGCCAAAATTTTGTGAGCTTGTCAAATCTTGAGAGATGTTAGTGAACTCTGAAACCTTGTTTGGTTTCACCTTTTGGTTGGATTGCAAGCTTTGGTATGTTATTTGACTCCTGGCATCCTCCCAGAGAAATCCATGTAGCTTTCTTGGCAAGACTTTAGAAGTGGCTTGCCATTGCTTTATTCCTGGGGCTAAGAGAAAGTAATTGGATCAAGCTCATTCCAGCTGATTTCATTCCATCGCAACACTAGAACTCGGTCTCCCAGTATCTAGCCTGATTTCTTAACTATTATACCAGACTGGTTCTATAATATATTATTTTCACTATCTTCATGAATCACCAGAGTTTCCTAGACCACAAATTGGGACCATTGGTTTAATTAAGAGTAAAGAAGATCTAGTTATCTTCTCATAATTTATCCTCACAACAGCAACCATATGAGATGTTAAGAGCTTGCCCAGGGTCATCCAATAAACTCCAAAATAAAGTGGAAACCTGAACCTGGGTCTCATTTGTCCCAATCAAACACTTTAAGGCATACTACAAAGGCATACTACAACGACATTGTTGGTTTCAATTGCAATTTATTTCACTTTTGATTTTTAAAATATATTTTTTGTGTCTACTCTTATTCTCAGCAAACCGCTCTTCACTGGAGTGCCTATTACAATAATCCAGAGCATGTGAAAATTCTTATCAAACATGATTCTAACATTGGAATCCCAGACATTGAAGGCAGAATTCCACTTCATTGGGCAGCTAATCATAAGGATCCTAGTGCGGTTAATACTGTCAAATGCATTTTGGTATGATTTCCCCCCCCCCCCCAATGTTGGTTATATGATACACCAAAAATAATACTTAAAATTCTACTTTATTTTGCAGTAATATCCATTTAGAATATTGAATAAATTTCTGAATCTTTATCTTATCTGTGAAAAGAAAATGGTTAATAGTTTGAGTTGGCTGTGAAATGAGACAAAAAACTATGCAAATGGCTGCTACATTCTTTATTGTCTCATAGTTTAGGACTTGACTAAACAAGCTACGTATATAATAAAAAGGTAGATTTATTGAAGGCTACTTGATAAATTCCAAAATTGCATTACCCTAAAGCTCAGAATTCTATAACCACCAATCAAGCACCATTCAAACAATTTAATGAGTATCTGTGAAAGACAGAAATACATTGTTAAATACAAAATTACTAAATATCAAAATGTGGAAAATGGAAGAGATTTGGATTTCTAATATGAACAAAAATATTTTAACTGAAATTATTGCAATAGTAGTAACAACAATGTCAGCACTGACAAATTTTGCTTGAGTTTTTTCTTGATTTTGGAGGAGCTTGGGCAGGCTAATGATAGAGATGTCCAGTTGATCCCCCACGAATTTCTCTTCCCATTTTTTAATCTTATTTTCATATTTTATCCCCAAATCCTATTACCAGAAATTTAGCTATTTTGCCCTAATTTCAGCAGCACAATTTTAGCCCACTTTTAGGGATAGGAATGAATATGGAACATTTATGACAATTCGTCGCAGCCAGCTCGCCATGACCAACCTGCCACAACCAACTCACCACAGCCAACTCGCTGCTGGATAAGAGTTACACTAGTATCAAAGAAATGGTGGAATAGAATCATTAAAAAAAGGATGCAAAAGAAGGAACATAATGAAATGTGAATGGCAAAAATTAAAATAATTTTTATTTACTTTAAATAATTAAATAGAATTGTTAAATTGTCCTGCAATGAGTTGTCTTGCAGCGAGCTGCCTGTGGTGAGTTTTCCCACTGCAAGTTAACTGTGGTGAGTTGGCTGTGGCGAATTGGCTGTGGCGAGTTGGCTGTAGTGAGTTTGCTGCAGCAAGTTGGCTCTGGCAAGTTGTCTCATCCCCACACTCATCTTTCTAAAGGTATTTCATTTTCATGAAATCTTTATTTTTGCACAAAAAGCTTTTTTAAAATGGCAACACCAACACCAAAATTTGGGCCTGGGGTATTTGCAGGATCACTTCCTACCAGCCTCCCACCGCACAGTGCGCTCACATAGGGCTGCCCTCCTCCGGGTCCCCTCGGCCAGACAGTGTTGGCTGGCGGTCCTCAGGATGAGGGTGTTCTCTGTGGTTGCACCGACCCTCTGGAATGGGTTGCCCACCGGGCTCCGGACAGCCCCCGACCTCCGCACCTTCCGCGCCGACCTAAAGACATGGCTTTTTTAGCAACTTCCCTGATCTGCCATGGATTTTAACTTGGGAATATGGGGATTTTAAATTTTATTTATTTATTTATTTATTTATTTATTCGATTTGTATACCGCCCTACTCCCGAAGGACTCAGGGCGGTGAACAGCCAAACAATAAAATAACATAGACATAAAAAATTTAAAAACCAGATAAAATCAAATTAAATTATTTTGGCCCAGACAGATTAAAACACCCCAATAATTTAAAAACAGATTAAAATTTACATATTTAAAAGGGAAGAGATTAGGCCAAGCCCGCCTGCTGGAATAAAAAGGTCTTCACAGCGCGGCGGAAGGTGCGCAGATCCGGGATCCTCCGTATCTCCAGGGGGAGCTCATTCCAGACGGTAGGTGCCCCCACAGAGAAGGCTCTCCCCCTAGGGGTCGCCAGCCGACATTGTTTGGCTGACGGCACCCGGAGGAGTCCCTCTCTATGAGAGCGTACTGGCCGGTGGGAGGCTATTGGTGGTAGTAGGCGGTCCCGTAGATAACCAGGTCCTAAGCCATGGAGCGCTTTAAAGGTGGTAACCAAAACCTTGAAGCGCACCCGGAAGACCACCGGGAGCCAGTGCAGGTCGCGCAGGAGAGGTGTCACATGGGAGCGCCACGTCGCTCCCATTACCACCCGCGCGGCCGCACTCTGCGCCAGTTGGAGCCTCCGGGTGCTCCTCAAGGGGAGCCCCATGTAGAGAGCATTACAATAGTCCAGGCGGGAGGTGACGAGGGTTTTTAATATTATTTAATCTTTATCTATTGTCGGGTTGTTTTATTGTTGTGAGCCACCCCGAGTCCTACGGGAGAAGGGTGCATATAAATCTGACAAATAAATAAATAAAATTTGGCAATTTGCTACCACATTTGATACAATTTCATGTTGTTGGGTTACCTACTACTGCCTTAAGAAATAAAATGTAATTTTGTTCTAAAGAAAGTGGGAATTTAATTACCATCAGTATGTATAGTTAATAATTTTTAATTAAAATGATGTCTTGCTTGATTTACTTCTTGAACTCAAGTAGAACTTTTTAAGTATCTGTTTCCATCTCTAAAAGCTCACTGTATCTTTTTAACTGGCCTTTTTATAAACCAGGATGCTGCTCCAACTGAATCTCTGCTAAACTGGCAAGATTATGAAGGACGAACTCCTCTCCATTTTGCAGTTGCTGATGGGAATATAGCTGTTGTTGATCTGCTGACTTCCTATGAAAGTTGCAACGTGTCTTCTTATGATAATTTATTTCGAACACCACTTCACTGGGCAGCTTTATTGGGTAAATTATGAATAATATAAATTCTTAACCCTTTTGAGCATATTTGTCAACTAATTTTGTGGAATATTGTTTTTCTCAGTTAAGAGACTGCATCCTGACATAGTTGTAAAGAGGTGCCTTGAAGGAGACAGAAAAATGTCATGAGATCAACTTATACAATATATATATGATTATATATACATCAACTTAATACATCGATTCATGCAGTTCAATCTACATTTAGATCTTATGTTGGGTATAGCTTTCAGAATCTTCCAAGACCTCAAAACGTAGAGGTGAATTGCTCTCTATCTGAGATGACATGTTGTGGTGCTCCATGTAGTCTATAGACATGTGACAACTGGCATATATTTATAATGGTGACAGTGTCCTGGGGTCATCTTTTGTAACTTTCTGACAAGCAAAGTCAATGGGGAAGGCAGATTCATTTAACTGTTACTAACTTAACAATTGCAGTGATTTACTTCACAACTGTGGCCAGAGAGGTCATAAAAATGGGGCAAAACTTATTTAACAACTGTGTTGCTTTGCAGTAGAAAGTTTGGACTCAATTAGGGTCATAAGTCGACTACCTATATATTTATAAATTAATTGTGCTTTTTCTGCTTTTGTTTTTTTTAGGTCATGCACAGATTGTCCATGTTCTTTTAGAAAGAAACAAAGTTGGAACAATCCTTTCTGATAGTCAAGGTGCAACACCGTTACATTATGCAGCACAAAGTAACTTTTCTGTAAGTGAAATAAATGGTTTATTTGAAAATGTCATCCTGAATAATATCAGGATGACATTTAAATCAGTCTAATTTTTAAGATTGTGTTTTTCATATTAAAGGTTGCAAAGAAACAGTATTTTTTAAGTTGACAGTAGTATTTGCCGTCATTTCATTTGTTCCAATGTTGTTTTTTATTAGAAAAATTTCTGAGACGAACTGTGTTTTCCTTGATATAGTTAGAACATAGAACATGTGGATGTATACAAGAAGAAAAAAAATATTCTATGAGGGTAACTTGGAGGGAATGATGAACATTTAATGAGTTCATTGGAGTTCATTGGAATTTTATTGGTCTGAAAGTGAACTTTAAAGAATGTAGTATGTATGTTAAGAGGAAATTTTTAAAAAGATATATTAGAATGTTTTGATGTTAGAAATGTTTTTGAAGAAAAGTTTGGTGTTTTAAAATAGATGGGAAAAAAGTATTTTCCCTTTAAGGTTAAAGAATATGAAAGAATACAGTGAAATTTGTTAATATAAATGATGATAGTTTATAAAGATTATTAAGTGCAAATAGAAATACATATAATCTCCACGGCAAGGAAGATAAAGCAGAAATGGTTAAATTGATTGTTTTATTCAAAGAATAGAATATATTTAATTCTATTTTTTATTTGGATATCACTTCTGGATTTTGTGATTATGATGAAAACAAATGAAACTTAGACTTTGGTTTTGTCGATTAGGTAGATTTGTTGTTATAGAGGATTATAAAAAAAATCAGCTTTCTGTGAATGTTAATATCATTCAAAATCTCAATCAGATTTATGATTAGTGTTGCTCATAGGTGCTTAGATAAAGATGTAGAAATATTTTTATTCTTTTAAGTCCACACAGAGTAACCATGATTGTAGCTCCTTTGGGGAAATCATTTCTCATTGCAGATAAACCAAGACAAAGTCCAAGGCCAATACAATTGAATAGACCTAGATAAAGTTAGAAAAAGGTTCTCAAATGCTGGAAAGATGCTGCTTGTTTTAAATGGAAAAAAAATCCAGTGTCCATGTAATGATCATTTTGATGTTGATTAAAATCTTCATAGATCTGGATCTGAAGAAACATCTTATTTTACATCAATCTGATCTTGCAACTTGGTTAATACATGTGTAATCCCTTGACTGGGGCTTGGAAGAAGTTATTTTCAATGTCTATGTCTAAACATTGGTACTACAGGTAGCCCTCATTTAATGACTAATTGGGAGCAGAACTTCCATCACTAAGGAATGTAGTTATTAGGAAAAACATCACGTGATTGCAATGATGTAATGGCCATTTCAGTAATTGTTAAGCCGGGATCTCACACATCTCCTGCCATGTTACCTTCACCTCCATTTCAACTCTCTTACCCATCTTTCTCCTCCATCTCTGCCACCTTGTACTTTGCCACCTGCCTCTCTGATGCCCTGCATTCCACCGTCTCTATGCCTCTGATATCCTTTACCCTCTGCTATTGTATTCGCAAGTGGATATGAGTCCTGGATTCTATATTGAAGGCACATTAAAAACTGGAAAAATTTTATATGTGTTGTCTGCTCAATTCTTGGATTCATTGGCAAGACTCTCTTCAACCTAGGGGTCTTTGATTATGCAAAGTCCACCCACTTTGAGTCCCTGATTATCAGAGCTCAGATGACATGGGTAAGACATGGATGAATGGATGACCAACATATGCACCATCTGTTGCTCAATAGCAGGGTAGGCAATTAATTTTCCCTAGAGACACTGTGAAAGAAACTCTATGCCACTGTGACATCCAGTTAAGAGAACTAGAAGCTGTGAGTGCTGATAGAACTCATTGGCAAACCTTATGCTATGAAATCTCCACTGACTTTGAAGACAGGCACCACAAGAAACTGATAGAAAATTTAATGCAGTGTCACAGAATAACACCCACAGTTACTACAACAATGGATTTCCTGTGCCTCATTGAACTAGACTCTATGCTTTCAGACTGGGACTGCAGAACCACCTTCCTGCCCACAGCTGAACTGCACAATAGCAAATCTTCTTCAAAGTCAAAAGATTTACCGTATATAAATACAGGATGCAATATGACAAGTACCACTTTCAAATGCATTTTATCTATCTTCTCCATTTTGAGACTGACTTTGAATATTTAGTGTATTTTTATTGTATTGCTTTTTCCTGATCACCTATTTTGATATTTTTTGAGTTTTAGAGAAACTTTCTTTTGTATAGATATAGATAGTACCTTTGTTCAGCACCATCATAATTTTGAACAGTCACTGATGAAATGGTAAATAAAGGACTACCTGTGTGGATGAAAAAAAGTAAAAATGGGAAAAACTTAAGATAATTCTAATTATATTTGACTGAAATACATTACAGTATAGTATTTATTCACTTTTAATGTTACTTGGAATATTAAACAATTGTTTTCTTTCTATCACTATCAATAGAGTTAAAGAGTGGTACAGTACATAATGTTATTCCTTAAAGAAAATGGGATTCAAGTACATATTTATTAATTTATTTACAAAATGTATTAGCCGTTTGCAATCATACACACACACATAGTACTGTGCAAAAGTGTTAAGCAAATTGCAAAAAGCTTTAAATTAAGAATGCTTTCATAAATAGAAGTATTAATAGTTTATTTTTATCAATTAACAAAATAGAAAGTAAATGAACAGAAGAGAAATCCAAATCAAATCAATATTTAGTAATAGAGTTTGGCTGTTTCTCACCCAGTTTTAAGCCTACAACACAGCTGTTTCTGTTTTGGTTAATGATTGCATTTCAATCTACATATGAAATTGATGATCTTAGCACCTACTTGGTATAATTGGTTAATCACACATCTAACTCTAATCCTACAGAATCCCTGACTTTGTGTAAGTGTAAAAATTGATGCTGTTTTGAAAGCAAAGGATAGGCACACCAAATATTGATTTGCTTTGGATTTCTCTTATGTCCATTTATTTGCCATTTTGTTAATTCATAACAATAAACTATTAACACTTCTATTTCTGAAAGAATTCTTAATTTACAGCATTTTTGCACAATTACCTAACACTTTTGTACAGTACTCTGTAACACATGTTAATGCCAACTGTTAAAATTCAAATACAGATGGAGAGAGCAGCAGCGGGATGGGGTGGGGGGAGGTGAGATCTGTTTTTACTCACTCAACCATTTCCACTGAGATGCTATCCCTCTCCCGTTACCCCAAGCTAACTGGGAGAGCCAGGTTTTTAGGTCCTTATGTTGTGGCCCGCCAGTGGCCTGCGCGGATTGTGACTGATCCTGATGACGTGGAGGCTGATGTGGTGTCGCGCCAGCAGCCTGTGCAGCCAGCGCTCGATTCGGACAGCGAGGAGGCTGAAGATGTGGTGCCAGAGGCAGAGATTCAGCCAGGGCCTTCAAATCCTCCAGAGGCTCCTTCAAGTGAAGAGAGTGAAGTGGAGGAGCCTCTTCTCAATGCACGAGCACGCAGAGCTGCCAAAAGGCAGGAGTGGTTACTCAGGAGGAGGTCTCCTTGAGAGTAAGGCTTGGGGCTAATTGGCCACTCCCTTAGCCTATTTAAGTTTGCACACAGCTGGCAAACATTGCAGGAAACAATGTGTGTTTGTCCGGTCGTTTGTTGAGCATTTGAGAGTGAATTTTCCTTGCAAACCTGGTTTCTGGGCTAATTGCCAACTCTTGTAAGCCTTTAACTAATCTTTGGAATTTCTGGCAGGCTGTTAAGGACATTTTTAGTAATAGTCTGCATTTGAAAAAGACTGTGTTTGTAGTAAACGGAGTTTTGTGTGTGCTACATTTCTTGAGTTCCGTAGCTGGGGCAGAACACTTTACAAAAGGTCAGGAGGGTTTGGCCTGATCTCACTCTGGAGGGTGGGGGTGCAAAATGTTTAGAGGGCAACAGCAGAGAAGATTCTTATCGTGGACCCTGCCACCCAGAATAATCGGGTCACACAGGACCCACAGCAGGCCTCCTCTGTTAGCAAGGATGGGACGGGCCATTCCCAGTGGAATGAGATGGTCCCTCAAGTAGTATCATTTATTTAAAAAAAAAAATCATTTATAATTTGAATCTGCATTATATTAAAGAGTAATTATATTAAAGAGTAATTTCAAAATCAACCATACTTGTGAATATTTCCATTGTAGGAAACTGTAGAAGAATTTTTTAAACATCCTTCTGTGAGAGATGACTCAGATCTTGAGGGAAGAACTTCTTTTATGTGGGCAGCTGGCAAAGGTAGTGATGAAGTCATCCAGACAATGTTAAAACTAAAACTGGTCACAGATATCAACGTGGCAGATAAATATGGTGGCACAGGTAAAAAATACTTTATATGTGCGCATGTGTGTGTTTGTGTGTGTGTGCATATGTATGTGTGTAGCTAGGATTTATGATTTACACTTATGATTTACAAACGTAAGTTACATATACTAATTTCTCAATTCACTAGAGAAGATAATAGTTTACGCAGTTGTTTCCTAAGGAATATAACTGCATAACTAGTATTTTGAGATTAATTCAAAAGGACAGAATAATTGTTATAGAGTATCTAGGCGAAGAGGCCAACGGTGGCTGTGACGGTGGCGGCAGCGGAGGCGGCTGTAATGGCGGCCGCTGGCTGGTGTTGGGATGGCGGCTGCAGCCGAAGGGCTACGAGGGAGATGGCGGGAGCTAATCCAGCAGCTTTCCATCCTGGATTTTCCTGGGCCGCAATGAGGTATTAGGCCGTTTTGAGGCCGGCCCAGCAGCGTCCCAGACCACCACAATGACTTGGTGGTGACTAAATTGGGGAGCAGTGTGACCAGAGAAAGACCCGGGGGTGACTTGGGGGACCGGAAGATTACTAAGGGGTGTTCCCCCCCTGGGCACTTTTGTGCTGCTTTCGCCCCCCTCTCTTTGGCCGGTTTTCAGGCCTTGGACGGTCACTCCCCACCCTGTCTAGGTCCAGGCTGCTGGAAATTACCACTTTTCCATCTACTCCCCACTTTTACCATCTCCAGATATGGCCGCTGCACTGACTTCATAGACTGACTTCTGTTCCGGTCCACATGGACTGGCGTTGTTCCATCTTCTCTCCCTAACCGGACAGAGAGTTATATCTTGGGATATGAGTATTGAGGGAGTCGGCTTCTGGCTGCTATCTCAACATCAACGCCATTGATGCCTTGGACTATCTTGAGACTCCTCCCACTGCCATGAAAGGGCAATGGAGTTTCCAAAGTACTAAGACCTAAGATATATTTTCTCTCTGTTGGACTTCTAAATCATCATGGTCGACCCACTGGTTATAGGCCATCATTTACTCCCAGTATCAGATGTATTCGACAGCTGAGTTCCTTGGGCTGCGAGACTCCCCCCTCTCGCAGGTTTGGCCCTCTACCCTTTCGAGGGCCTACCTTGATGACGGGTCTTGGAACCCCGAGAGGTGGCATGTAGCAAAAAAGAGAATGAGGGATTTTTTAACGAAAGCTTGTGTTAAGTTTTTAAGGGGTTTTGGGAAGGGGTGGGAAGGACCTGGGGGGTCCACAGAACCTCAGAGTGGCAGAGAGGGTCTGAGGGTCATGGCGAGAGGAGGGAGGGAGAGGGTTTAGATAGGGAGCCGGGGGACGAGGTGAAGGGCTATTCCATCCAAATAGTGGGTGGGAGGGGCAGATATGGTGGGCGCAGGGGGCCATATCATGTTCGGGGAGTACGCACTCGCTGCTTACGAGCGGTGGCGTGCTCCGGCCCCCAAGACGCTTCCTGTATTCCAGGTTGTGCAGAGTTTCAGGGCCCGAACCTTCGGCTGTTGTTGTGCAATGTCAGGTCTGCGACTAATAAAGCCCCCCTCATTCATCATTTAGTTCAGGAGGGGGGTGCGGACCTGGCAGAGATCACGGAGACCTGGTTGGGCCACGAGGGGGAGGTTCCCCTCATGGAGATGTGCCCACCAGGCTTCCAAGCATTTCATCAGCCGAGGGCCCAGGGGAGGGGAGGGGGCGTAGCGGTGATTATTAAGGAAAGTCTTAGTCCGAGTGAGGCCACTGTTCCTCAGATAGCCGGTTGTGAATCCCTCCTTGTGAAGTGGGGTCATGGGGTGCAGATGGGTTTGTTGACTGCGTACCTGGATCCCTGCCACGTGGCAGCAGCCCTGCCTGAGCTGCTCGACGTAATAGCCAGGGTGGCGGTGGATACCCCCAGGTTTCTGGTCATGGGGGATTTCAACCTGCCATCCGTTGGTGAAACATCAGAAGCAGCTCGGGAGTTCATGGCTTCCATGACGGCCATGGACCTGACCCAGTTAGTTCATGACCCCATCCACATCGGGGGACACACGCTGGACTTGATTTTTGTCTCTGGTCAGTGGTTGAATGATCTCACAATAGGGTGAGCCTATTAAGGCTCACCCTATTGTGAGCACCCTATTGTGAGCACAATAGGGTGAGCCTAATAGTTATTAAGCCTTTGTCATGGACAGATCATTCGCTCCTTCAGCTAGACTTTCGAACCACTTCCCATTGTCACAGGGAGACGGAACCGACCAGGTGGTTCCGTCCCAGGCGCCTGATGGACCATGAGAGGTTCCTGATGGAGCTTGGGCCATTCCCAGAGGCTCTGACTCATGACTCGGCTGAGAAACTGATGGCCGCCTGGGATAGGGCGGCCGCTGGAGCCTTGGACCGCGTTGCGCCTTTGCGGCCTCTGACTTGGTGCCGATCTCAATCAGCTCCTTGGTTCTCCGAGGAGCTGAGGGAGATGAAGCGCCGGAAAAGATGCCTAGCGAGCGATTGGAGGGCCAGTCGCACCGAATCTGACCGAACACTGGTGAGATCTTATATCAAGACCTACCTAGTAGCAATAAGAGTGGCGAAATCTAATTATTTTTCCACTCTTATAGCATCTGCAGAGAACCGCCCAGCCGCCCTGTTTAGGGTGACCCGCTGTTCTGTCCCCAACCCCACACACACATACCAACAGACGTTCAGGAGTTAAAGACCAAACCAGCCGGCAAAATCCTTTTCCTTATTGTAGCGGAACTTGGCAACAACTTAGTGGCTGCCTGCCAAGAGTTTATTATTTACAAAGAGGAGAGATAACTTCTCCCCACTTCTGATACATCAAAGGAAAGCAGCTCAATAATTACAGAATTAAATCAAGTCCAGAGATACTCCAGCAAAGTCTTAAAGCAAAAGTCCGGCAATGCAGAATGACGTGGAAGCTTTCAGCTTTGTTCGTCACAAGGTTTGACTGGCCACCACGCTCCCTTTTATATCCTGTGGGGTGTGGTCCAGTGACTCAGCCTAATCTCGGGCATGCCCTTTCTTCTGTTGCGCACACTTATCTCTGCGACGCTGGCATGGGTCCAGCCAAGACTCGTTACCCTCATCACTGTCCATCTGTGGCTGCATGGACGTGCTTGGCCCTGGCCCTATCTCTTGCCCTTCGGTGGACACCGAAGGCATTGCCAGAGAGGAGGGTCCTGGAGAGGGAGGCCTTGCCAACTCCTCCCCTTCACTTTCGGAATCCTCTCCTGACGATGACACAGGCTCCGGTAATGGAGCCACAACACCCGCTCCCTACTTCAAGTGGGAGCGAGGGAGGACCCCTTGCAGGGTAGAGCTGAGGATTTTGTGCAATATCTGCATGATAAAATCGCTCAGATTCGGGACGGTCTGGACTCCGACTGGGTAGTTTCAGACGGGATGATGGGGGTGAGTCTTGAGAGTGTTATCTGGGAGGAGTTTGACCCTGTGGCTCCTGAGGACGTGGACAGGATTTTGGGGACGCTTAACGCTACCACATGTTTATTGGACCCGTGTCCCTCCTGGTTGGTGCTGGCCTCCTGGGAGGTTACACGAGGCTGGTTTCAGGAGATTATTAACACTTCGTTGAGTGAGGGTGTCTTCCCATCTGCCTTGAAAGAGGGGGTGGTGAGGCCCCTCCTCAAGAAGCCCTCCCTGGACCCGGCTGTATTAGCTAACTATCGTCCTGTCTCCAACCTCCGCTTCGCGGCGAAGGTTGTCGAAAGTGTGGTGGCGCGACAACTTCCTCGATTCCTGGATGAAGCTGTCTATCTAGATCCGTGCCAGTCGGGCTTCAGGATGGGTTACAGCATGGAAACGGCATTGATCGCATTGGTTGATGATCTCTGGAGGGCCCGGGACAGGGATTGCTCCTCTGTCCTGGTCCTCCTGGACCTCTCAGCGGCTTTTGATACCATCGATCATGGTATCATGCTGCGTCGGCTGGAGGGGATGGGAGTGGGGGGCACCGTGTTACGGTGGTTCTCCTCCTTCCTCTCTGACCATACGCAGTCTGTGTTGACGGGGGGACAGAGGTCGACCTCGAGGCTCCTCACTTGTGGGGTGCAAGGGTCAGTCCTCTCGCCCCTCCTATTCAACATTTATGTGAAGCCGCTGGGTGAGATCATCCGTGGCTTTGGGGTGAAGTGTCAACTGTATGCCAACGACACGCAGTTGTATATTTCAACCCCAGGCCACCCCAATGATACCCATGATGTGATGTCCCGTTGCCTGGAGGCCGTGCGGATCTGGATGGGGAGGAACAGGCTTAGACTCGACTCCTCCAAGACTGAGTGGCTGTGGTTTCCAACGTCCCGATATAGCCAGCTAGAACCATCACTGGCTATTGGGGATGAGATCTTACCCCCCTCAGAGAGGGCTCGCAACTTGGGCGTCCTCCTGCTGTCGTTGGATGATCATATGACGTCCATAGCCAGGGGGGCCTTTTATCAGGTTTGCCTGATCTCTCAGTTGCGTCCCTTTCTGGATTGGGATGCCTTGCGCACAGTCACCCACGCCCTCGTCACTTCCCGTCTGGACTATTGTAATGCTCTCTACATGGGGCTCCCCATTGAGAAGCACCCGGAGGCTCCAACTGGTCCAGAATCGGCCATGCAAGTGATAATGGGGGCGACTCGTCGCTCCCATGTAACACCTCTCTTGCGCGAGCTGCACTGGCTCCTGGTGGTCTTCCGGATGCGTTTCAAGGTGTTGGTTACCACCTTTAAAGCGCTCCATGGCTTAGAGCCTGGATATTTACAGGACCGCCTGCTGCTACTGACTGCCTCCCACTGACCAATACGCTCCCACAGGGTGCCATCAGCCAAACAATGTCGACTGGTGACTCCCAGGGGGAGAGCCTTCTCTGTGGGGGCTCCTGCCCTATGGAACCGAAGCAAAGGGTAGATGCTTTCTACTTTCCAGGCTGGGGGAGGGGGATGGGCAGCTGAAAAGTCTGCTACCAGAACATGTTAGATATTTAAAACAAGAAGCCGAAATATCCATCTATCCATCCCTATATACATGGATGATGATTTCTTTATTGGATTCCTGTGTTCTGTAGTAGCTTATCTTCTCCATAAATACAGTATGACCTGTATAAATACAGTATGGTCTAATAAAGTTTCATCTTACCATGCTGAGTTGTCAAAAACTTACTTTTCGCTTTACTTTTTGCTAGTTATTGACAGGAATTGGGTGGGAGAAAAGTCTTGAATCAAATTGTGCCTGCATTAAAACTGACACATCTACCACTTATTAATTATTACCAATTATTAATTAATTAATCAATGTAAAGAATAAATTTTGCATCTTTTACTTTTTTAAAGTATCTAATCAATTCCCTCCTATCCCAACTTTATCTCTCCCTGTGGTCTCTTTCTTCGTTTTCATTTTGTAATTTAATACTGTACTTATTCTTTCTAGTAGACTAAACCATCCCAATCTAGTGGCATCTCAATTTTATATTCAGTCCATCTAATTCATCACCCATTGGGTCTGGTTCTTTCCCTCCTTTTCATACATGGACTTCTTAAGCAATTCCCACTTAATTCAGCTTCTATCCTGAGATACCCAATTTTCATACCTTGTAACAAAGTTATTAATGGTGTGGCACAAAGTCTCTGGGCAAAATTAGAGAAGCAATTTCCTATTATTTTCTTCTGTGATTTGTTTTTCAAGTTCCCAGTCTGTCTACAACCTTGGGATTTTCTAGTGGCCTGCATTCCAATATTGACCAGAGTCAATACTGTTTATTTTTTCAAGATGAGTCAAGATTGACTAGGTACTGCCACCACCTGCTGGAAGAACTGAAGTTTTTTTTTTTAAACTATCCCTTACCTTTTCATATCTTTATTTTAATGAATGTTGGATATGGGATTTGAATTCCCTTGTTGTTTGAATTTATTTTCATTATTCTTTAACAAAGTTGTTGATTTCAATGATAGCATCAGATTTTATTTGATCTAGATCTATATCAGAGATCCTACATACATGTGTTCAGTTTATATAAATTTAATATATATAGATGTAAATAAGATGCAACTGAATGGAACAAACATAAGACAATGACAAAACAAATAAATGGAGAGAGTGATGTCCAGTACATCTGCATGTAAATATCAATCCTTCATCTTAATGTCTGGTTTATGTTTTGTTATATTCACTATTTTAATTAAACAGCATTTAATAACTGCATTCTCTTTGACATCTTTCAGCATTACATGCTGCTGCCCTTTCTGGCCATGTCAGCACTGTGCAATTGCTTCTAAAACATTATGCCCAGGTAGATTCTGCTGATGTAATGAAACACACTCCTCTTTTCCGTGCTTGTGAAATGGGACATAAGGAGGTAATACAGACCCTCATTAAAGGTCAGCTGCCTAAATTTCTTCATAAACATATGGCTGTCTTTAGCTTCTGAATTGAGCAAAGAGTAATGATAGTCAATATTGTGAAGGATTAGTTTATGACTGATAATGGAAAAACAATATTTTAATCAACCTTTTTGTAAAATATTTCAGATGTATTTAAGAAGTCCTATTCCTGAAAATTTTAAATTTTGAAGAGTTAGTAATTTATCTTTGTAAAGGAAAATAGACTGATTGGAATTCTCAGATATAGGAGTAAACTCTGGTTTTCAATAAGTATTCTATGTATTTGGGTTAGCATCTTTATTATCAATTGATACATAATCATTTGGAACATGAATGGAATTTTTAAACTGCCAAATTTTCAACTGACTGGTTTAAAACTTATACATCATCTTTTCTTGCTATCGATCTTCATAGTCCTAAATAGTTTTGAGGAAACTCTTTATTATGTGACCTGTCTGCAAATTTTAGATATGTCTTAGAATTTACTCAGGCTAAGAAAATAATCAGAGAAAGGGATGTTTAGATATAAAAATGAGACTACTCTGATCACAAATCCCAACAGGAAATTGAATGTAACTTCCTAAATGACAAGTGGCTAGTTAAGTTGTGTCATTAACTTTATCATTTTAGGGAAGAATCTTTTTTACACCCAGGTTTAACATAGCAGTTCTATATGGGAAGTGTAATAGATGCCCTATAGTTTGCCAAACTAGCTTGTTTCTGATCTCTGATTGTAATATAATTGTACCTTTATTATCAACTAGCTAATTCACTAGATTCAAGGGAAGAACAGTGAAGGAGAAATTAATGTAAAATATGTATCATACCAGAACATGGTAACTCTTTGATCAGGATGCCAATTATTTATGTGGGAAGAGAGAAATAAATTAGATTACAGATATGTATCTGCCTTTTGTGTGCATGCAAAAATTATACTTCCATTAGGATTGTTAGTAAGTAGATTCATTGACAATCTTCTGCACATAAATACATCTCAAAACTGCCATGTCAAGACTTTGAAAGCAGACCTTGAGTAAGGAAGTTGGAATGATATATACATAGCCTCACCATACACTTTTTTAGTTTGTTAATAAGCAACTGAGGCAGACTTCATGGATTAACATATGTTATTATTGCAGGAGGAGCAAGAGTTGATTTAGTTGATCAAGACGGCCACTCTCCCTTACACTGGGCAGCTCTAGGAGGAAACCCTGATGTTTGCCAAATATTAATAGAAAATAAAATCAATCCTAATGTACAGGATTATGCAGGTAGAACTCCACTGCAGTGTGCTGCTTATGGAGGCTATATTAATTGTATGGTGGTACTATTGGAAAATAATGCAGATCCAAATATTCAAGACAAAGAGGTATGTGATGTTTACTATATTATTTATTGTAATAGTTCAGGCATGCACACCTTGCTGTTGGAATACATTGTTTGGATATCAAGCTTTATCCAAGCTTTAGCACCAATTCCACTAGAAATTCATAGAGTAAAGACTAGATGTCATGTATATACCTAGCATGCTTGGGGAATTTAGATTTGAAAACAATTTCCCATTCATTAAATTAAATACTTTTTCCAAGGGAAATTGCAAGCATTTTTGGTCTTATCCAAATAAGAATTCTGGCATGGAGAGATAGGAAGATTTAAACCTTGCATTTCAATGTTATTCTCGCCCAAATCATTGCAAATATATGCATAAAGGGCAAAAAACATTAATTGGAGCAAATAGGCTGCCTCCTAATATAAACTGTATATATATTCTCCTGTCTCCTGCCTAGATCGTGACCTTAAAGGGGAGAAAATGTTAAAGACCAATTATTCTAACTTTCTATCCTTATGCATGTACCATGCAGCTGATCCAAATGAGCTCCCCTTGCTGTTTTCTATATTAGTTGGAAAAAAAGAGAAATACCCTGGAGAAGCTGAGAATGAGTGAGGAGAAGAAGTTGTAAGGGCTAGATAAGAATTCTTTGATATTATTCAATCAATAAGGCCAATTAATTATTTTAGGATGATTCTAAGATGACGAACCATTTAGATGGTCATGATTTGGATAACCATAACCTTGAATGTCAAGAATTGAAGTGCTGTGTGCACTTTTGGGGGGGTTATCATGTTAGCAACTTTGAGATCAAGTAAGTTTGGTGGGGAAATAATTTGTGGGTTAGGATGGAGGATGAAGAATAATTTTTATCAGAAGATTCCAAAAAAGAGACCTGTAGAGGGATAATAAGGAATGATGTGATCAATTAATTTTGCACTTCTCTAGGAACCACCCAAAGACCTGGGTTAAATAAAAATTCTAAAACAGAAAAGAAGAGAAAAAAGAATAAAGAGTGCAGGAGAAAAAAGAAAGGAAATAATAAAGAAAAGAAATACACAAAAAAGTATTTCCAAACTTCACTGCAACAAAGAAACATATCTCTTCGTCCCATATACCATTATTTATCTATAAGCAAATCTATAAAACATCATTTTTTTTCAATCTCATTGTCAACAAAAGTCGATAAATTTGCAAACTTTGCAAAAATGTTTATTTTAATGTTGAACAAACAAAGCAACTTTATATCACTTCCTTTTATTTCTTAATCTTTAATTCAATCAGAGTATCCTAGGATTTGATTTCTCTTCAATTATTTTTTATCCCATCATCCATATATTTTAAGAGCTTTGACTAAGTTCTGTTGTAGAGCCAGTAATAAAACGTTTTTCAGGTCATTCTCCTGGTTCATAATTTGTATTTTCTTCTTAACTTTTAAAATTTCAGCCACTTTCTGTTTTATGTCCAGGAAAGTATGCTTTTCCAAATCGTTGTTTTGGCCTGTCATTTGTAGTTCCACTTTTGATACTTTCTGTCTCTGTTAGATAAAATTTGTTCCAAATCTATCATTCCATTAACATTTTATACATAATCTATCATAGAAGCAGACATCATCTTTTGAAGTGTTAATATTCTAGTTACTAATTTCTGCCTCCATTCTTCAGAGATCTCCTTTAATATTTCCAATATTTTTGTTATTTTCCAATATTTTTGTTATTTTGTAAATTCCCATATTAACTGATATCAAGAACAAGATTGTATTTTTCCCATTTGCTTAGTCTCTTTAGCTCCCACTAGCATCCAATTTCAAAAATCATCACTTATCTTACAATAGCCAAAAAAGCCAAATTAAGTCTGTTTACTACAAAAACCTACTTATTTTTTATAATTAATCCCTAATCTTATAATATAATCCAATTTCCACTTTTATCTAGCCCTTAATCCATGTATAACTTTTTTAGATCAAAATCTTATTTAGCTTATTGTTGTTGTTTCAAATTCTTTAATTTCTTAATCTTATAATTATTTTTTTCTTTTGTTCAGAATTGAAGATAAACTTTACTGTCAGACATGTCCCAGTCAAATCCCTTAAAAAAGAAAGACCCTCGATTATTTTGGTGAAGTGACAAGTTGTTTTACTAAAGGTTGCTGGTTGCAGTAAAATCAGGCTAGAACTAAGATTCCCACGCAAAAAGTTATAAATTTTTCCTCTCCTCCCAGCCCTCCCCCATTAACCAGCTTGTCTTCAGAGCTGCATAGGTGTTTTGAGAATCGCTGTTTGGGGCAACCCACATTCCATTCTCAGGATATGTGGCCTTGAAGATTGGCACAAACTGGTTCCGTGTCTTCATCAAAGTGCCATGCCCCCCTTCTATTTTCCCATTACATCCCCATTTGTTTATTGCCCATTTGTCCCTCTTGCCCCCTCCCCCTAATTTTTGATGGCAGGATGCCAGCAAGACGCCAAGCCATGTGTGATGAAGGTTTTTCTTTTTAATAAATAAAATCAAAACTCTATTTTTGTATAAAAAGAAGAATTAGAAAATACTGCTTTTTACAAAGCTTCAGGGCTGAAAAATAAATATTGACTTCCTGCAAGGAGAAAGAGATGATTTTGGGAATACAATTCCAGTGAGCTTCTTGGTTATGTATAGCCTGTCTTCATTCACAATACTACAGTCTCCCTGCCAGTATAAATGCCAGCCTGTGTTTGAGTTTGAATTCACACTTTTGCCAACCATGCACTTTAGCAGGTCTGCTTGGAACATAGAAATATAGCTTTATTTTTTGAAAAGGTAAAGTCAGAACTGCAGTTCAGTGGAACATAAACATGCCGGGAATCTGCAGCAACTCTAATAAAGGGCTATATTTACCACAGAGACTGGGGAAAGACCATGGAAAAGAAGTAGAGGATTTAGCTTATTTTGTAAGGAATAGGTTAATGTGTTAAACAGAAACTGTGCTAAATTGAACTTAAATAAAATATTCTTTATCCATTGTAGGAATTCTGTGTCCATGATAGGCATAAATGTTTCAGAAAATGTAGAACATGTAGTATTTTCTTTTTTAAAATTGTACAGTCAATCTTATCATCTTTATCATCCTATATATAGTACATCAATCTCCTCTCCTTTCCTTCCTATATTTAACCGATGAAGACTTTTCAAATTTACCATTCTGAAAGTCTCTAATAGCTATAAGATGGTTAATAGTTCCATAAATTCCAAATCTGGGTAGAACACAAAGAGGCACAAAATTTAAATATTAGATATTTTCCTCTGTTTCCCCTTATTTCCCCTTTCTCCATTTAGAGGAAATTATAAAATATTTTGAAATTTAGCGTTTATAATATATCATTACTGCGAGTTGTTTTTTCTTTATTAATTTCTACACCTCTATGTGTTCAAAATAATGTAAAGAATGAATATAGTCTGATGATTTCTGTGTTTGAACTGGAATTTGGCAATATAAATTATTTTTTTGTTTCTTTTTTTGTTTTATTGACCATAGGGAAGGACAGCATTGCATTGGTTATGTAACAATGGCTACCTCGATGCTATAAAGCTGTTGTTAGGATTCGGTGCCTTTCCCAATCATATGGAAAATAATGAAGAAAGGTACTATTTATTAAATAATATCTTTGTTGCTTTTCTGGGATTTCTTCTGATCATATTGTTAGATCGATCCTGCTGCAAAAGTTGTAAAGGGATAAGTCAGAAAACCACTAGTTTGGAATTTATTTCTGCCATGAACAAGCTATTCTTCTTGCAACTTACATGTCCTTTGAATACTACATGCTGGATATGTACATAACTATGACAGGAAATAATATGAAATACTTTGAATAAAAAAAATCCCGCTATGCTACTTATATGTTGACTGGGGATTCTAGGACCTATAGACCCCAACGTCTGGAAGTGTTTAGGTTGGATATAGCTACACTGTAGAAATCTTAGTAATGCTAATATTAGGATAATATGTCTGATTAATTGGTGTTTAAAAATCAAGTTGTCCATTTTTAACTTTTTATTATTTTTAAACTAAATTACTTTTGAAAATTGTAGAAACAAGCAGTTTTATAGGTACTCCATTCTATGCAGGGAAAAGGTACTTTCTGAAATGGTACATTCTCCAATAGAGATATGTATAATTGTAAAAGGAAACAATAAAACATCAGGACCAGACTGACTACCAGTGGAAGTTTAGAAACAATTACAAGATACCCTAGCACCTTTAATGCTGGAAGTTTATAATGAAGTCTTGTTAGAAGCTAAGATACCAAAATCCTGGATAGAAGCAAATATGATTGATCCAAGATAGCGCCGCCAAAGGCTGCCTCGGTGACATAATCTCTAATGGTTTCTTTATTTTTAATTATTCTCTGCGATTCACTATGGATTTCTTACACACGAGACCATCTGCTAAAAATTAAGCAATGTTTCTTTAAGGAGCAGCTTTCTGTTATCTCTCTCTCTCCCTCTCCCTCCCTCCCTCCCTCTCCCTCTCTCTCTCTCTCTCTCTCTCTCACACACACACACACACACACACACACGTCTTTACAAACGCGGAGGAGATTCTAACACAGGAAGAAGCAATTTTCCCGGAGCCATGGATTACCAAAAAACCTAAACGGAGGAAGCAAAGAAGGAGAGGTAAATGGGCAGGAATTTTAAGTAGGTTAAGGAATAGGAGAAATAAAATTCCTCTGCCTTCAATTTTTCTAACCAACGTATGTTCCCTTGCTACTAAGATGGATGAAATACTCCTTTTAAACAGATACAATTCTGATTTTTACAATTCAGCAGCCCTATGCTTCTCTGAAACCTGGTTAAATGAATCAATTGAAAATAGCAGCCTGCATATCCCAGGGTTTCAGATTCAACGATCAGGCAGAATTACAGAAACGTGATAAAAAGAAGGGAGGAAGCTTATGCTTATATATCAACAACAGCTGATCTCAGGCTATAACTATAATATATAAATTCTGTAACGAAAACCTAGAGACATTAATTATCAACTGCAAACCATACTATTCGCCTCGTGAATTTCTAATTGCTCTTTATGTCCCATCACAAGCCTGTGTAAACAAGGCATTACGAACTCTAGCTGACCAAATTGTAGAAGCTAAAGCCAAATACCCAAATTCACTGGCCATTATTTTAAGAGATCTAAACAAAGCAAACTTAAGGAAAGAGCTACCAAAATACTTTCAGCATGTCAATTGTCCCACTAGAGGCAGGAATACCATTGCTACACAACACTAAAAGATGCTTATCGGTCTTTACCACGAGCAGCTGTAGGACACTCTGATCATTGCATAATTCACCTTGTACCTGCTTACAGGCAAAGACTTAAAACCACAAAACCAACAATTAAATCAGTGAAGACTTGGAGGCAAAGTTAAAGCTATAGGCTTGCTTTGACTTCTCTGATTGGAATATTTTTGAAGATACCTCTGCAGATCTGGCTGAACTCACAGATACTGTAACATCATATGTCAGCTTCTGTGAAGACCTATGTGTACTGACCAGGAACTTGAGAATATACAGTAACAACAAACCTTGTTCACAGCTAAACTTAAACAGCTATGTCGTTCCAAAGAGGAAGCCTACAGAAAAGATGATAAAATGCTGTACAATCAGGCCAGAAATGTATTAATAAGGGAGATAAGAGCATCAAAAAGAAGCTACTCTGAAAAGCTAAAGAACAACAAGTTCTCAACAAATGAACCAGCAAACATGTGGAAAACTCTTGAAAATGTCACTGGCTACGGCGAACCTCTTTCCCAGGCTGAAGGAAATCAACAACTGGCAGATGACCTGAACATGTTTTACTGCAGGCTTGAAAGGAAACTATAGCCACCTATCTCCACAACCCCTATCTTAGACGCACCAACAGCCAAGCATCCTACAACTGACCCCATCCCATTGGGTTCCCAACCCCTAGTGATCACAGAAAAGGACGTGGAAGACCTATTTCACAGACAAAAGCCAGGAAAAGTTTTAGGCCCAGACAAGATAACTCCTGCTTAAAAGTCTGTGCTGACCAATTGGCCCCCATCTTCATCCGTATCTTAAATAAATTGCTAGAGATGTGCTATGTTTCTTCTTGCTTCAAACGCTCTACTATCATCCCAGTGCTGAAGAAGCCCACTATCAAGGAACTGAATGACTACAGACCAATTGCTCTAACATCTGTAGTCATGAAAACCTTTGAAAGGCTAGTGCTGGCCCACTTGAAAACCATCATGGATCTGCTGTTAGACACCTTGCAATTTGCATACCGAGCAAATAGATCAACAGATGATGCTGTTAATATGGCTCTGCACTACATCCTACAACACCTTGAATCTCCAAAGACCTACACAAGGGTCTTCATTTAATTGACCTCTGACCAATGGAAGGCTGAGTTAAACTCAAGCCAGTCAGGATCAAACTCCAGGCTGAGGCCAGAGTTAGCCTATAATAGGCAGCATTCTAATCACTGCACCATCAGGGCTCTTTATATTTAATGCATATTTCTGCAGTTAACAATAAAATGCAGTAAGTAAATGCATTTACTGCATTAACTTCTTTTTGTCATTCTATTTCTAAAGTTAATGTAACATAGTGGATACTGAATTAATACAATATTGATTATTGTACTTTTCTATTTGATCAGTTCTCTAACAATATTCTGTTATTTTTAGATATACACCACTTGACTTTGCCCTGCTGGGAGGTCATCATGAAGTAATTCAGTTCATGTTGGAACATGGTGCATTATCTATAGCTGCCATTCAAGATATTGCAGCTGTCAAAATTCAGGCAGTCTACAAAGGATACAAAGTTAGAAAAGCTTTTCAAGATAGGAAAAACCTTCTAATGAAGCATGATCAGTTGAGGAAAGATGCTGCTGCCAAGTAAGTTTGATATAGGAGCAAAAAATTAAAGAATCTTTTAATATGTTTTAATGTGTAAATTCTTGCATACATATGTGAATGGATGAAGGTATGTATATACACACATACAAACCTATACATTAAATGCTGGTTTGAATAAGCTTTATACTTCTAAATGGTTTCTACTGAATTCTCTGGTAAACTAGTTACTGCTACAGGGGGAAAAAGTATAATAATCATCATGTAATTATATCTTGAGGAAGCAGAGAGAGAGGGGAGACAGAGAGGGAAGTGGGGAGGGCAGGCAGGCAGATCTGTAGAAGGAAGTGATGATCCAGGTCAACACTGTGGCACATAGGGGCAAACAACTGTTTCAGTATTAATTGCTTTTTGCCCATCCTTAATAGCAATAGCATTTAGACTTATATACTGCTTCGTAGTGCTCTACAGCCCTCTAGTCAGCATATTGCCCCCAACAATCTGGGTCCTCATTTTACCAACCTCAGAAGGATGAAAGGCTGAGTCAACCTTGAGCCAGTGAGACACGAATTGCTGGCAGTCGGCAGTCAGCAGAAGTAGCCTGCACTACTACATTCTAACCATTTCATCACCACAGCTCTTAAGTCAATAGAAAGCTATTTCTATTGAAAGTCATGTAGAAAGTCATGTCCCTATTGCCAATTTTTCTCCTGTGTCTGTTTCAATGCTCTGATATCCCTCCAAGATAATAGATGACAGACCTTAACAGTTTTTAACATGACGTTGCCTTTGGACATTGTGGAAATAAGGGGAAAACACAACTGTACAGCAATGTAGCTAAGGACAAGTTAAACCCGTCTCATAGGCTGATAATGAAATAAAACGACATCATGGGGTCACAGTTGAAAAGAGAAAGTTGGTGTAGCCTATATAAATTAGGAGGAAGGGCAGGGGTGAAATGCTCCCGGTTTGGACCGGATCTCCCGATCCGGTAGCAATGGCGGCGGGTGGTTCGGAGAACCAGTAGCAAAAATCCCTGTGCGTCCACTCCCCACCATGCCCAGCTGAGCCGCACGATCATCAGAGGCTTTTTTTTTTTTTACTTTTAAAAACATTTTTTCTACAATTTCTTCCACTGAAAAAATGCTTTTAAAAGTTAAAAAAAAAAAAAGCCTCTGATGATCCCGCGGCTCAGCAGGGATCGTCAGAGAGACTTTTAAAGCATTTTTTTCTGCAACCTCTTCCAGGGAAAAGATGGTTAAAAATGCTTTAAAAGTCTCTGTGATGATCCCAGCTGAGTTGCCTGATTGTCAGAGAGACTTATAAAGCATTTTTCCTGCAACCACCTCTTCCCCGGAAGAGGTTGCAGAAAAAAATGCTTTAAAAGTCTCTCTGATGATCCCAGCTGTGTTGCCTGATGGCAGAGCCTTTTCAAAGCATTTTTTTAATCACCTCTTCCACTGAAGAGGTTTCAGGAAAAAATGCTTTATAAGTCTCTCTGACGATCAGGCAACTCAGCTGGATCATCACAGAGACTTTTAAAGCATTTTTTTCTGCAACCTCTTCAGCGGAAGAGGTGGTTAAAAAAATGCTTTGAAGAGGCTCTGACAATCCCAGCTGTGTTGCTTGATCGGCAGAGCCTTTTCCAGGCATTTTTTTGCATTTGCAGAAAAAATGCTTTGAAAAGTTAAAAAAAAAAAAAAAGTTGACCACGCCCACCCAGTCACAAGCCACGCCCACAGAACAGGTAGTAAAAATTTTACATTTCACCCCTGAGGAAGGGGTTAAAATTCTCTTATTGATCCTGGTCTAGATCAATATATGAAGTGTTTAATATCACATTTAATTTGTCTGTCTGCTGCATTCAGCAAGTTTTGTCTGTTCCCTTGCCTCCATTAGTTTGCCACTGAGTCCTGGTGGCGCAGTGTTTAGAATGCAGTATTGCAGACTAATTCTGCTGACTGCTGACTGCCAGCAGTTCAGCAGTTGAAGTCTCATCAGTTCAAGGTTGACTCAGCCTTCCATCCTTCCGAGGTCGGTAAAATGAGGACCCAAATTGTTGGGGGCAATATGTTGGCTGTGGTATATAAGCCTAAGTGATATTGCTATTTAACCTTGCCTCCATTAGTTGCCTCATGGGAATTGCTCATTCCTAAGGTTAAATATCATATTAATCTAATAATAATGTTACATGGATATCAGAAGTGACAGTGGGAATGAGAAAAGTATCCCCACCAAGACAGCCTCTAATATACCTTTCCTCTATTCATATAGACAGCATACAGCAAGCACATGCAAGCCCAACCCATGTCATTGATGATCTATAATTCTTCCTCCCAATTTTTTCTCTAAATGACCTAATAAGTTAGAGATAAATAACAACTTTAACAAGTTTCTTTTGTATTGTTTTAATAATCAAAATTTTAATAATCACAATTTCCCTATATGCTTTTTTCTCTTTTTCTATTAATATCTTTGTAACATTTTTCTTATGGAGCTGTTGGATTTTCTACATGTTAAATACAACGACAGTGACAGATGGTTAACAGAGGGATTTGAAAATTAGGTTTAATTTTGTAATAATTCGTTGATTGTTTTATACACATATGTATAGGTTTGGGTGTGGTGGATCAATTTGATTATTAGATAAATAGATTTCCACAGCAGGGATATTTGTTTATATAATATAGCACTTTTGTTAACTATTACAGATGGGAAATAGCAATAGCATTTAGACTTATATATCGCTTTACAGCCTCCTCTAATCTGATTCACAGAATTGGCATATTGCCCCCAACAATCTGGGTCCTCATTTTACTAACCTCAGAAGGATCAGTCAACCTTGAGCCTGGTGAGATTTGAACTGCCAAACTGCAGGCAGCTGGCAGTCAGCAGACATACCCTGCAATACTGCATTCTAACCACTGCACCACCACAGCTCTTTATAACTCTTGGTAGACCCATTATATAAGAGGAGGGGGATATATTAGATTTTTTATGTGTCTTTCAGCATTCATCTGGGAATGGATTCTTTTTTATGTTTAATATTAGATGTATTTGGTATTGAGATTTTTTTTCTTTTTTGTACACATTTGTTGTGTACACATTTGTTGTGTACAAAAGGAAGGAAAATATTCAGGGCAATGCAAAAAAGATGGCTTTTTCAGTGGCTCTGAAGATGTCTTTTTTCAGTGGTAAAAAAGTATATATTTTCTCTATACCTCAGTCAGTCAGCTGTTGATTACCTTGAAACTTTCGATTGAAAATGGATTATTGTTGGATCTTCTTGAATTTGAGATTTATCTTTACAAACTGTTTTGCTGAAATAAGCTCTCATGTCTGTTTTCTATCCAGATATCTTGAGTTTGAAGTGTATTTTTTGTTTGTTACTTTGTTTGTTACTTTGGTAAAAGAAAAAAAAAACAGTTTGTGTATGTTGTATACATATATTATTGTATATGTACAATATGTATACATATTATATACATATACATATATACATACATACATATATATATATGTTTTTGTAGATTTACACGGGTAGAGGTATGCACCAAAACTTGCATATATAATTTATATTTGCTGATAAAGAAATAAAGGGAGACTTTATCAGAAAATATAAATTTGATACAAAATAGTTTATCGTGAAAGCAACTCTTGTTTTTGGAATAGGCCCTGTTTTCAGGGGGAAAGCTATATATTTGCGTCCAGATTGTCTGCCTCCCCCCCAACACCTCTGCTTCTGTCTGCTGCTTGGTCAGGGAATCAACTCATCTCTGCTGCATGGGCTGCACAGCTCACGAGTGCACCATAGTACCTACAAGTATGGCATATTACCAAAGAATGAAGAATCTGAAATTCTGCATAGCTTGGTGAACTTAAATAAACAACAATCCCTATATAAAATGAGTGGTGAAATGATGATAATCTGGTTGGTCTTGGTAAATTAAAAATAAGTTCTAATAAAGGCTCCTAAAAAATACTGAGCCCAAACCACCATCTTTTCCTCTTAGTATATCAGAGCTTCATTATCCTTTGAATGTCATTGGAGATTGCACATACAGCTCCATCACCTGGAAACTCTTGTTTTATTTTTAACAACCAACATTTTTTGTGGACAGTGTAATGACTAGGTTAACATAATTTTCATACAATGCACACAGTAATAATACAATTACATATACAGAATTTTTATGTTCCAACTTCAATATATTCTTCTATGTACTAATCTATATTATACTATTTTCCTAATTTATACTTATTTCTACTAGGACTAGGTATATCTAAAGGTATTATGATTAACAGGATGTAAAAAATACATTGGAAAATATAGTTTTCAAGGACTATAAATTAATGGGACTTAGAGATATAATCTTGGGACTGATTAAATCTTATTGATAACTGTTTTATTGGTATTTATAGAAAAATGAGATTGAAAATGTGGAACACTGAGTGATATTTATAATATTAAAATATTAGGGTTTAATTGTACAAAGTTGTAAAATCGTTTAAATTGTATATATTGTATAACGAAATGTTATTGATGTTTACATATACTTTTGGAGAAAATGATTAAAAAATCATAAAGAGAATAGTATTGTTTAAAGATAATGAGGTAAGAACACCTGGAAACTCTTGATTGACACTCCTTGTGAAAACAGGAGGCAGGTTACCTTTGCAAAATTAACATGCCAAGAGATCATACAGTATCTTAATTTTTGACGTAAAACCTAGTGCTGGAGCATGTAATGGGAGGTGATTCCCCCCCCCCATCAGTCAGAGCACTTTTGACACACAGATGATGCAACATCTGACACCCAATAATGGAATTCCCCTGGGCCTTCAGAGCATTTTAGCCTATTGAACATAAGGCAAGCTCCTTTATTTGGAGATAACTGCAGCTGTGCTGTACATTAATTGGTTTGTTTCATGCAATAATATTTGATACTATAGTATTGGCATCTTTTAATGCTTGTGGTAGCTGTTTCTTTGGGACAAGCTTCAATGCAGGCGTGTTGCTTTTGTGCTGCTCTAGGGGCTCAGTTATTTTTTGTTTCAATTCTTCTACTTCTTTAGTTAAAGGGGTTTATTCTTTCTGAGGCAGTGGAGTGGGTGCCTGCTTCCTGAATGAAAACAATTCTACATCTATGCTTGCTTTCTCTCCTGCCAATTCTCACTGGTTTGTTTCTATAGTCTGAGTTACCTGTATTTTTCGGAGTATAAGATGCACTTTTTCCCTCTAAAAGAGGCTGAAAATTTGGGTGCATCTTATACTCCAAATGTATCTTTTTTAAAGCTTTTTTTCAGCCCTAAGGAGGTGCTAGTGAGTGAAGCGATCTCCTTGCTTTGCCTGCTCCCTCTGACTCTCAGCTGTGCTTTAGAAGCTGTTTTTCAGCCCTAACGAGGCGTTAGCAAATGAAGCGATCTTCCAAGCCTGCTTTTCTCATTGCTTCTCTCTCCAAAGATCAGCTGTGCTTTACAAAGCTGTTCTTTATCCCCAAGTACGGAATAAAAAGCTCGCAAGCGCACTCAAAACCAGCGAACTAATGTGCTGAAGCTGACCAGACTAAGGATGCTAGCCAGTTGAATAACTGGTAGGCAGATTTCCCCCCCCCTATTTTCCTCCCCAAAAACTAAGCTGTGTCTTATACTCCAGTGTGTCTTATACTCCAAAAAATACGGTACCTCTGGCAGGGTTTTGATTTCTTTGGCCAGGGTATATCTTTCCAATTCTTCCAATTCTGCTGCTGTGAATGCTTTATTTTATATTATAAATCGTATAACCTCTGTTCTGTTATTTCTTATTCTGGGTATTATTCTTTCCAGAACTGTTGCATTTGTTTCAAATATCCTCTTCTTGTTGGACTTGATCTATAATAACAGATCATTATGTCTTTATTTTTAAGGTCTGTATATTTGCAACAGGTAAAATACATTGCAGTAGTTCTGATCTGCTTGCCCTGGTTGCTCAGCCAACTGTTCTGAGTCCTATAGCCCATTTCACAGATTTCTCCTCTGTATAAATGAATTTTACTTATCTGATTTATTTTTTGGCTTAACAGGAGAAAATTTGCCTTAATAATTTATGTTGAATTTAAACAGAAGTATTTATACCATGTAAGAAAAGATATCACATATTGTATATTATAAAGTAATAATATTATTGCAAATGTTTTAAATAAGCTCCTTTTTCAGTGTCAAAGGCTGAATGATTTAGCTTTCCAAAGTGTAATTTGCAACTCACTTTGTAGCTTTTCATGCTCTGAGACTAAATGAGCTGCTTCTGAAGAGAATGCATGACAAGACAGCAATGACAGTTAAAATTAGGACTTTTTTCTGTCACATCTCATTGAAACAGCACATTTCGGGATTGTTTCTGAAACAGAGGAATCAATGAAGGCATGCTACATAAATGGTCTGTTGTGTGTCAACAGTCACAAATCATGTTACAACAGTTGAAGTTTAAAATGGCAGAGAATATTTTGATCTGACATTTACCATCTGTCCATTGTATAATATATTATTTTGTCTTTGCAGGTTTTATTTGTTTACTTCTATTTCCTTAAAAAAAAGAATCTTTGTATTTGGGATTGTACTGGATTTCTGCTTACAACAAATTGACTGCCTAGAGAAGGCTGTCATATTATTGAGGGGCAAATTAAATGTCTTGCCAAATAAAAATACCTCTTTAAAGGATGGAAGGGGACTAAGCAATCTTGTCTTCAGAATTAAGGTTCTGCAAGTGAACTATGATTGCCTCATGTTTCCATAAAGAATTGGCTTTCGTTGTGAATGCAATCCATAGGCTGCCAATCTTTGTTGGAAGAGATAACCCTTCAAATATTCTTAGTCCTCAAATAAGAATATATACACTAATTTACATTTTACTAAAGAGAAAGACAGCACAATGTATTTATTGTATTTATATCCTTTTTCCTCTGTGTACAGTTTATATAGAGTTTTCCCTTAATTTTAATCCCTAGGAACAAATCTGTAAAGTAAGGTACTGTCATGCAGGGGTGGTTCTACTTACCTTTACTACTGGTTTGCATCGTGCCTGCATGCGCGCTCTTCTGCACATGCGCAGAAGCTTCTGCGCATGTGCAGATCACTTATGATGATGTCCGGGTCAGTGGGTGGAGCCTCCCACCGGTTTTACTACTGGTTCTATAGAACGAGTCTGAACCGGAGGCAACCCACCACTGCTGTGATGTCTGTAGTAAGAAGTTACTTAAACCAATACTTTTATCAGTGAACCATATCTACACTTTGCACAGTGTATAGTAAATATGCAGTGAAGTGCCATGTTTTCATTAATTTTTGTTCCAGAATAAGTTTCAAAGGCAAGCCTACATAGTATGTGTTGAATTGATCCAATTTAGAGTGTAATCAAAACATTACTGTATTTTTTGGAGTATAAGACTCACTTTTTCCCCCGTAAAAGAGACTGAAAATTTGTGTGCACCTTATACTGTAGCCCTGCCCACCCAGCACCCCCCACCCCATTTAACCTCCGTGCATCCTCTTCTTTGCTTCAGAGATTGCCACCGACAATGGCTTAGCCATTTTGGGCAGTGCACATTGCATTTTCAGCCTCCAAACACTCCGTTTGAGAGGCCTTCTAGGCTGCGAGGATCACCAAATCACATCACCGCCCAACGCCGCCCAAAAACGTGATACGTTTGGAGGCTGAAAACGTGACATGCGATGCTCAAAATGGCTACCTGGAACAGCTCCTGCCTTCTCTTATCTCTTCCGCGATTCATCTGCTTTAGTCACTGGATCATCGCTCCCTCTGATGATCACCTGTGAGTTTGAAGCTGTTTTTTAGCCTCAATGAAGTGCTTGCAAATGAAGCGATATTCCGTGCTTTGCCTGCTGTTCTCATTGCTGCTCCCTCCGACAATCAGCTGTGCTTTAGAAGCTGTATTTCAGCCCCAACCAGGTGCGTGCGCTCAAAATCAGCGAACTAATGTGCTGAAGCTGACCAGGCTGAGGATGCTAGCCAGATGAATACCTGGTAGGAAGAATTTTTTTCCCTATTTTCCTCCCCAAAAACTAAGGTGCATCTTATACTCCAAAAAATACAGTAATTAGAAAAACTGCTCTATACATGACCAGTAAGTTACAGGCGTGATCTTTGCACTTGTGTTCCTGGATTAGCTTTTCTTCATCTAGAACTGATTATTTGATCTGATGTTATGTTTTTAAGCTTTTTATTGTTGCTTTATTGTATATGCTATTGATTATTTTATTTTCTATATGCTATGTTTTACTGTATGCTTTAAGCATTTAATTAATGTTTAATTCTTTTTTAAAAAAACTTAGGGATTTTATATGAGAAGCAGATTTTTTAAAACTAAGATCTAAGTTCATAGTTTATGATGATGTACGGAATTTTCTTTATCTAAATCAATATGCCAAATATTTTATATTAAATATGTAGTTAAATAGTCCAGTAATTTGACTGAATGAGGTCCTTAGGCTGTTTTGCCTAAATAATCTGTGATTAGCAGAAAAAGAGTATAAGTAATATGTGGTTTTGATCTTTTAAAACAATTTCTAACATTTTAAGAACTTTTCAGTGAAAAATTCAAAATAATTCTTATAATCCCTTAACTCTTAAATATTATAAATATTGACTGTAGGAAACGTGAAGAAGAAAATAGGAGGAAAGCCTCAGAACAGCAGAAAGAAATGCATAATTGCAAAACTACTAGGATCAATATACAGCAACAGAATTTTTCTGAGATGGAAAGAAATCATTTGAGACTTCATACGTCACAATGCTCTGTTCCACCTGTTAAAAGGCCCCCATCTGGCAACATGTCACAAAATCAACCAGGAAAAGGCAAGAGAAGCACTGTTTTATCAAGCAAAGTGACTAACAAGAACAAAAATCATTCAGTAGAGCTACTTGGTGAAGATCACAAAAGAAAAATGGGTTTGTAAACTCTTTTACTATTTGCCAAGCCTAAAATCAGACTCCTCTTCTGAACCCTAAAATGGGGGGACTGGGAAGGCAAGAATCCAATGCTTTATACTACCATATATACCACAGCCATATTTGTGCTATTTGATTTGTGCCAAGTAAGCAGCAAATGCATCTTGATTTATGAAAGTATCAAATTTTTGGTCAATAGAGGATAGTTATACTGACAATAGAAAAAGATGTGTTAGTATATAAAAGTACAGAGGCAGCAAAGAGAAAAGGGAAAACAAGTCACTATAGTTTTTGAGGAAGGATTCAAATGGTTGGAATGATAAAAGTCTTAAAAGATGGATAGAAAGAAATGATCAGCTAAAAAGAAAATCATAGAGAGTTAGAGTAAAAATAAATTAAGTAGAAGATAGCATATATAAAAAGTAGGTTAATAAAAAAGTTTGATTGGTTGGCTGTTGTTACTGGGCTATAGTCTTTTCTTTTTAAGTACTGTGTGTGATGCAGATTAGGATTAGAGTTGTTTATCTAATCTGCATTGATTAGATAAACAACTCTTTTATCCTTAGCCTAATCCCTAGCTTCTCCACCACTAGGGGGATGACTAGGAAGATGGTACAGCCCAAGCCCAAATTTTATTTGGACAATAAAATCCCATTATTGTCCAAAGTTGCCACAGTGATCTTGACTGTAGCTGTCATGGGGATTATGGGGTCACTTATCATCAGGCAGTCTTCTTTGTTGCTGTCACTCTCGTACATTACAGGGCCCATCTTGGTAAGGGTCAGAGTTCTCTCCTCTGCGCTGGACAGAAAGGTGAACTCTACAACTTGTTATCCCATGTGGGTCCCCTCTTTTGGCTTTGAAGGGTTCTTTCCCCTCTTTGGTTGGCTCCAAGGCTGGGGCTGACATCGGGCGTAACTCACTCAGATGCCCGGTGGCCTTCCTTTACACAGCAGAAATATCCAGTAGGAATCTAAAATAGGTTCTTTGGAGAACAAGTAGATCCCCGCTTCTCTGTGACAATTCCTCAAGTATCCTCAAGATACCCTTGAGTACCCTTCAGCCCCTCAAGGTAGTTAGCTATTATATTGATAAAAGCAGTTATAAGAAAAAAAGTATGAATTCTATATTTTTTAAACTTCTGTTCTCTGTGCTTTACACATATGAATTATGCACTTGTACAGTATCCAGTACAAAATCTTCCAGAGGTGGACATCTGCCTGAAGAGTGCATGCCTTGGGAAGAAAGGGGTGATGATCATTATCTTCTTTTTTTTCCTATTACAGCAGTAACCCATTGGGGATTTCTCTACAACAAATACAGTACTTTAACATTGTTTTTTAGTTGAATATATTTAAGGAGACTTAGTTCTTCACCCATCCCCAATATTCCTGTCTTCTTGTCTTAATGAAAGGATTCTGCCAGTTTACAAAAAATATACAGAATTTTCTGTACTCCTTTGCTACGGCAAAGATTGCAAATGCTAGGAACCTTTGGATATCAATCTTTTTGTCACAGAGAACAATTGTCACTGCATCCCTGGCTCAAGAGGAATAGTCTATACATCCCTAATGTATATTTCATTGCTGTTGAATAATTCAGTTCCTTTATATTGTACTCCTTGTCATGCTTATGACCTGAACTCTTATAAAGATATAGAGTAAGTTAATTGCATTCTTGGCATACTTTAGTGGTCATATCAATTCTGTGTTGCCATGATCTACACCAATTGCAAGAGAAATATATTGAACCGGCCAAAAGGCCTGATTTTTTGGAACTCTCACACCCTCAGATAGGTGGGTGTGAATCCCTTCTTTTGAAATGGGACCCTGGAGTTCAGTCAGGGCTGTTGATCATGTACCTCTCCCCCAGCTGCATGGCCTCAGCCCTGCCCACACTACTAGCTGTCTTAGCCGAATTGGCGGTGGAACTACCCAACCTTTTGGTTGTGGGAGATTTCAACCTGCCGTTGGCCGGTGAGACATCTGAGTTGGTGCGGGAGTTCATGACCTCCATGATCTAACTCAGATTGTACAGGGCCCAACTCACATTGGAGGACACACACTCGACCTGATTTTTCTCTCTGGATGGTGGATAAATGATCGTGGGGAGGGGACTTTATCTATCGACCCTCTGTCATGGACCGATCATTCCCTCCTTAGGCTTGACTTTCCCACTGCCATCCCCCGTCGCAAGAGTGCGGAACCGGTAAGATGGTTCCGCCCCAGGCGCCTGATGGAACCCGAAAGGTTCCTGATGGAGCTTGGGTCATTTCCCGCCTCCTCAGCTCACGATTCATCCGAAGCCCTTGTCGCAGCCTGGGAACGGGCTGAGGTGGGGGCCCTGGATTGAATCACACCTTTGCAGCCTCTGATCCAACGCAGAACCCAGGCGGCTCCTTGGTTCACCGCAGAGCTCAGAGAAATGAAACGTCGGGAAAGACGCCTGGAGGGTGGTTGGAGATCCTCCCGATCAGAGTCCGACCGAACACAACTAAGAACCCATATTAGGTCTTATCTTGTGGTGATGGAAGTGGCGAAACGTAACTATTTCGCCACTCTCATTGCATCTGCAGAAAACCGCCCAGCAGCCCTGTTTAGAGTGACTCGCTCCCTCCTTAATCAGGGAGCGAGGGAGGATCCCTTGCAGGGCCATGCTGAGGATTTTGCACAGTTTCTGTAAGATAAAATCACTCAGATTCGGACCGGGTTGGACTCCGACTGGACAGAGTCCGTTGAGGTGACAGGGGCTAGTCTTGGTGGAAACATCTGGGTTGAGTTTGAGCCTGTTTTGCTGGATGACGTGGACAGGATTATGGGTAGGCTGGGGTCCTCCACGTGTTTATTGGACCCTTGTCCCTCCTGGCTAGTTTTGGCAGCCAGAGAGGTGACTGGAGACTGGATCCAGGCTGTTGTCAACGCTTCATTAAAGGAGGGGGTCTTCCCCGCTGCACTCAAAAAGGCGGTGGTTCGACCCCTCCTTAAGAAGCCTAACCTGGACCCTGACATTCTTAACAACTATCGTCCAGTCTCCAACCTTCGCTTTTTAGTGAAGGTTGTTGAGTCCGTGGTGGCGCAGCAATTCCCTCAATTCCTGGAGGAAACTGACTACCTTGATCCTTACCAATCTGGTTTCAGGCATGGTCACAGCACGGAAACGGCATTGGTCGCCCTAGTAAATGATCTCTGGCGGGCCAGGGATGGGGGTTGTTCCTCCATCCTGATCCTTCTTGACCTCTCAGCGGCTTTCGATACCATCGACCATGGTATCCTGCTGCAGCGGCTCGGGGAGATGGGGTTAGGAGGCACTGTTTTACAGTGGTTCTCCTCCTATCTCTCTGGTCGTCTGCAGTTAGTTTGGGTGGGGGGTCAGGGATCCTCCCAGAGGCCTCTCACTTGTGGGGTGCCTCAGGGATCGGTTCTCTCCCCTCTGCTCTTTAACATCTACATGAAACCGCTGGGTGAGATCATGGTTTGTGGTTTTGGGGTGAGGTATCATCAATATGCTGATGATACCCAGCTTTACATCTCCACCCCTGACCACCCTAGGGATGCCCTTGCCGTGATGTCCCACTGCCTGGAAGCGGTGCGCGTTTGGATGGGGAGGAACAGGCTTAGACTCAACCCTTCCAAGACTGAGTGGCTGTGGATGCCAGCATCCCGGGATCTGGAGGTTCCATCGCTAACGATCGAGGGAGAAACTCTTGCTCCCTCTGATAGGGTCCGCAACTTGGGTGTCCTCCTGGATTCTCGGCTGTCCTTAGAGGACCATCTGACGGCCGTAACCAGGGGGGCCTTCGCACAGGTGCATCTTGTGTGCCAGTTGCGCCCTTTTCTAGACCAGGATGCCCTCGCCACAATCACTCATGCCCTTGTTACCTCTAGGTTGGACTATTGTAACACCCTCTACATGGGGCTGCCCTTGGGATGCATCCGGAGGCTCCAGCTAGTCCAGAACGCAGCCGCGCGGGTAGTTATGGGGGCGTCTAGATACTCCTGTGTAGCACCTCTCCTGCGTGAGCTGCACTGGCTGCCAGTGGTGCTCCGGATACATTTCAAGGTGCTGGTGCTCACCTATAAAGCCCTTCATGGCTTAGGCCCAGAATACTTGCAGGACCATCTCCAGCCGCTCTCCCACCGTCCTGTGCGCTCTCACAGAGTCGGCCTCCTCAGGGTGCCGTCAGCAAACAATGTCAGCTGACGGCCCCCAGGAGGAGGGCGTTCTCTGTGGGAGCCCCGACTCTCTGGAATGGATTGCCCACCGAGCTCAGGATAGCCCCTGACCTTCTTTCCTTCCGTCGCAAGCTGAAAACGTGGCTCTTTCGTCAACTCAACTGATCCGTTTGGGGATACACTGTTATAATTTTAAACTGTTTTTAATAGGGTTGTTGATTTTAATTTATTTCATTGTGATTTGTATTGGAATTTGTCATTTTGTAAGCCGCCTTGAGTCCCTAGGGAGAAAGGCGGTATATAAATCGCAATAATAAATAAATAAATAAATAAACTGTTTAGTATGATATATAAAAGGTATTGCTAATGTCTTTCTGCCTCCAAAGGGTTTATTTAGTAACCTTCTCCATAACCCATGCTACAATAGAGAATGCTTCCATTTTCTACTGCTTATGTCTAAATATTTTGAGCTACTACCAGTTTGCTTGTTACAACCATTGTCAATAAATTTCCCTTCTCAGTGGTGGTTATGTCAACTGACAAAGTCAGTGAATTCACTGTGTGCTTGGAAATTCGGTATGCTGATTACACATCAGGGAACAATGCTTTTTTGTTTGTTTGTTTTCTAATATAGTTTCTAGCTTTCCTATTAAAAGAGAATTTCTTTTTTTCTTTTGCATATACTTGACTTTCTTTGAATTCTCACCTTTCAGCTTTGTTTTTAATCTTCAGAAGTAACACTATTCTTTTAAAAGGTCTCATATTTTTTTGTTCATGGTAGACAGAAAATCAAAGGATTCCTGATTTAAAGCTAATTATTCTTGAGGTCAGTAACAAGATTAAGTCAACAGTAATTATTATTATTATTATTATTATTATTATTATTATTATTATTATTATTTTATTTCTATACCGCCCTTCTCCCGAAGGACTCAGGGCAGTATACAGCCTATTAAAACACAAAAATATACAGACATCAATTAAAAAATAATTAAAATTATTAAATAATTTTGGCCCAAATTAAAACTCAAAAATTTTAAACACCCAATTTAAAATCATTTACATTGATAGCCCAGCCTGGTGGAACAGCAGGGTCTTGAGGGCACAGCAAAATACATGGAGGTCGGAGATCTTGCGCAATTTCGGGGGCAGTTCATTCCACAGGGCAGGAGCTCCCACAGAGAAGGCCCTCCCCCTGGGTGTCGCCAGCCGACATACCTTGGCCGATGGTACCCTGAGGAGCCCCTCTCTGTGGGAGCGGACTGGCGGGTGGGAGGCTACTGGTGGCAGAAATCGGTCTCGAAGGTACCCGGGTCCTAAGAGAGCACAACATCCTTGGCTACATTTGTGATGCATTTATACTTTTGTTCAAGACTGCTTTGGCATGATTTTTGGCACTCTCTGTGAGCAACTCCACTTTTGCCAGCTAAACAGCTTATTAGAACATAGAATAATAGAGTTGGAAGGGACCTCGGAGGTCTTCTAGTCCAACTGTAAGTGTAAATTACATAGATTACAATAAAAAATTGGTCTTTTACCTATAGCAATAGTTCTTTGAGTTATATTTGAATTCACATAATCCAGACTTTGTCTCTACTACAATGCCTATTTTATTAGATTGTCATTAACAGCACTCTAGTGAACCATAGAACCTATGAGATTAATGGAAATTTTGCTTCAGCATTCATACTTATAGTATATATAGGAGTGGGGTTCCTATCTAAAAATTTGGTTAAGGCTCCAGGCCTGAAAACGAGACCATGAGTTCAAGTCTTGCTTTAGCCATGCAAGCCAGTTGAGTGACCTTGGGCCACTCACTTTCTCTCAGCCCAACTCACCTCCATAGGTTGTTTTTCCGAGAAAAATAGGAGGTGGAAAAAGTGTTGGACATGTTTATCAACTTGAGTTATTTGTAAAAATAATAAAGGCGGGATATAATAAATAAATATGTATGTATGTATATATGTATATATGTATGTATGTATATGTATGTTCTGGAAGAGTAGGATATTGTAAAGATTCACACATGGGTGTTTTGTATACTCTTTTAGAATCCTGCAACCTATGTTCTATTATTTGTTTATATTTAATATTTATGTATTAAGACTTTAAACTATTTTAGCTTTAAAGCTAGGTCTTACAAGTTGACTGAAAAAAACTATTTTTGTATCATAATAATATTGAGTATCAAAATTGTTAAGCGTAGTATATTTAACCGTACCAAGCTAACCATATTTAATAAGTGATAAGCATATTTGTATTTATCTCATTTCCACAGGTGTATGTGAGGCAAACAGTAATAGCAAGCCTGCCTATATCCTTTCATATTCCTGTAAGAATAATGACCAACGTAGGCATCAAACTGAAAAAAAGCATCAAACTGTATCTGCTTCCTTAGGCAGGGATGGGAAGCCTCCTACAACAACAACTGGTATGTTTGTGCACATCAGCAATAAAAGGCATAATTCAAACACTAAATCTCCCAACTCTGGGGAAGAATTAGACCATCCAAATTGCTCCGTAAGGAATAATATAAACCATTCTGAAGAAACAACAGTTTTTATTCAGGATGACAAATGCCTTAGTAGAAGTAGTAGAAGTATAAGAAACTCGGGACAATATAATGCAGCATTTAAAAATAATCCACATCAATTAAAGACAAAAAGTAAAGAATCAAATAATAAAAAATGGTCATTGATTAGTTCAAGCAGACCTGGCAGTGCCACAGTAAGAACAATGAAAGTTGAAAAGGCTACTTCAAATGCTACAGCTACCCAGATCAACAAAATGAAAAATAATGACATCTGTTTGGTGGCCAAAAATGCAAGTTTTGCAACAATTGCACTGAACAAGATGGCTAGAAGTGATGCAAGCCTGAATCGAGAAGCTCTGTTAACATCCACGAATTCAGAAGATCAGCATGGTTTTGTTCAGCATAAAAATGCATACACTGAATCAGTCCCATCAGCAATTCAGATGCAAGTAATAGAAAAAGAAAGAGTAAGAAAAGAACTCTTTCAGAGGAAGTATAATGCAGCAAATGTTATTCAAAAGGTATGGAGAAGGTATGGATGAGATTCCTGTATTCTATCTCATTTTAATTACTACTAAAGATTTCATCATGAGGCTTAGCATATATTTAAATTTGTGCTTTGGTATATTTTGAGCAATGTGAAGTATATATGTAAGGTGAATTGGAAGGGATATTAGCAGGTGGAATAGTTAGAAGATTTCTATTGTATTTTGCTGATTTGCTCAGTATTTCTCAACCTGATTTAGATCATCAGTACAGAATTCAGATAGTGGTGATTCAAATAAACACAGATGATAGAACATTGGACATTGCATCATTTTTTAATCTGTTATCCTTTTGTTTCCATGGTAACTTTTCCCAATTTCAGATATGTTAAATGGTTTTGGAATATAAGAATATTAGATATCATAATAATGTGGAAATAATGCAGTGAGCAGTCATTTAGCTGTAGGAATAATCATTCTCATGAAGAAAGGACATAATTTTTTTGCTAGAACTATCCAAAAGCAGAACCCAAGGGCCAATGAATGTATCAGAAGAAGGCAAGAAAGTGAATGAGATTGACTTATATTCCTGAAATAAAGAATTTGACATTATATGAAGAATTTTGCCTTGGGCTCGGTTATATTATATCTACAGATGAAATTATCCTCATATTAAGGAACAGATTTATTATTCATTTTTTAAATGTCTTTATATTCTAAAATTGAGAACATGGTGTAAAAGTATAGAGTTTCTGTAAATTTTATGTATTTTATAAATTTAAGGATTGAATTAATGTTATATGGATTTCCTTTTGTTTCCCAGTTTATTATTTCTCTGCTTTTTATGTCTTCTATATTCTATGTAGAGACTGGTTACTATATATCCCTGAGTTCTTTATATTTGCTTACTGCTTTCTTAAAATATTGAAAATAAGGGAGTTAATCCGATTAAGAGAAAATGTTGTTATTGAAAAAATTGAAAAAAAGATGGTTCATAGTTTAAAAGCAGTAAGCTAAAACAGAATTTCCCACTTGTTTTCTCCTTGTAGCTATCAGCTAAGAAAACAATTCCTTCAGCTTTTTAGCACGAAACAGCAATGTAAAGATGAATGGCAACAAAAAACAACTGTCTTGTGCATTAAGGCCATTTGGAACAAAAAGTTAAACTTTACTGTACCTAAAGCACTTACTTCAGGCAAAATCCCAAAGGCAATGAACAAAAACAGCTTGGTACAAAAGTCAACCACTTTGAAGCAGATATATGGTAATAATAAATATCACTAAGTATTTATCTTGAGAATTTGAACTTTTTTCAGTCATAATTCTTTTTTTCTGTCTGTCTGCCTATCTATCTAACATGTATAATCTAGGTATCTAGGTATTCTCCTTGAGCTAACAATTCCTGCTAGAATAGCAGTCATAGCCAGGAGAGCCTTTGGACAGCTTTGGTAGATCTCTCTGTTTCTTTTCCTTTCTTGAATCGAGAGGTGCTAAAGCATGACTCAGCCTCTTGTCATGCCTCAGATAGGCTACTTCAATAAAATGGGGGAGGGTGCCAATTGGCAAAAAATACAGCAACCCACCTTCTGACTAGCATTAGTTTACATTGGTTGCTGATAGATTTTTAGGGCCAGTTCAAGGTGCTTTATTACTTAGACCCTTTGGAACATTATCTTCAGGTAGCGTTTGTCTACCTTATACTGTATGGCTTGCAGTGACAGTATGCTGAGTGGAAGACTCTGAAACAGCTTCCTCCTGAAGGCAGATATAACTAATGATATAACTAATGATGATGTCTTTTGGTAAAATTATGAAAATAGTGCTATTTAATTCATTATTTATCATTATTTTTATTTATTTATTTTATGTTGATAAATGCTTTTCATTCATTGAGGCATTCAGCATTCATATACTTTGGAAATTTCTTTTTAAAGGGCACTCACAAGAAGGAAAGGTGAATCACCCAATGAGATTGCCTTCTTCAAAACAGCAGTTTTGTGAACTTCAGTTAATATCAGGTACAATTCCAATGTATGTCATCATCGTCTTTATAAACATTAGATGTGAGGCAAAAGATACGTATAGCAACCTCAGAAAAAAAGCCCGTTGTGGTGATTTCTTGAGCATGCTAGGAAAAATGACAAAATGGATATTGGTGAAAGGGCTTCCAGAAAAGGCGATGTGAGAAAGTGAATATGTGTGGACATTTCATCAGCCCTATTGCTAGCTTCTTTAGGGCAGAACTAAAACTAAACACCACAACATATGTCATGCCTTTATATATTGGCAGTGTTCGTTGAGGCAGAATATCTATAATCATTAGTAACTTTTTTGCTGACTTCCCCCCCCCCCATGCATTTTTTTGATCACATAAATGGAATTATCAGCATGGATAAAGAAAATCCCCATAGTGACATCTACAAATGTCTTTAGATGTTCAAATGGGGTAAGATTTCACCACCATCTTGTAGATTTTCCATTCTTCAGTTGCAAGAAAAGTTCATGGAGATTTTGGAAAAAGACCCAAGTGGGATAAACATGTAATTAGGTCTAGAGGTGTAAAACACATCAATTCAATGGCGCTCAATATAGTGCACGGAGCCCTACACAAAGCGCCAAAATGATGTAGTGTTCTTATATTTAACTGGTTGAACTACCCAATTACCCATTTGAGCTGCCTGCTTTTTTTCCCCAACAGTTTTCATTTTTTCAGATAAAGTATGGCACCAGTCAGGTATTATCTCTCAATGCCTCTTGATGTATTCATTTCTAGTCTTTTTCTTGATGTTATCAGCTTGAAGAATGCCAAAGTATATGTAGTAATTATCTTCATCCAGATCTTGATGTTATTTCCATAGGGCATCTTGATTCCATCAGTTTTCACTATTTTTGCCTGTTCGATGGTAAGCTTGGCATATTTCTCCAATCCAACTACATTTTTTTAGATAAGATCATTTTTATTGTCATTTTTTACTGTGAGCATACTGGCACCTAAAAATGAAATTCTGTTTCCCACTCTCAAAATTGTGTGTGTGTGTGTATCTCCCCATACCCATGCATAACACATATATACATGCTACACACACACACTCTATATATGTCTGTGTGTGTCTGTGTGTGTATGTATTACACACATGTATGTATTACACACATGTACCTACACACACACATACATACATACATACATACATGTAAGAGTTCACAAGGTTGACACTATATGGAACAAAGTTCTGACTGAATCTGGATGTTCTGCTTCGGGTACCATGAAAGTAACAAGGAAAATTGGTCATGGACAGAATGTGTAGCATCTCTGACAATACTGTGGATCCTACTCAAGCAGCATTTATATGCTATGTCTTGGATGGAAGGAAGTGAACTACCAGAAATCTTTTCTGCCGTCCTCACCATTCTCTGCCCAGCTTTCCTACCTGAAGCAGTAATGCTTCCAAACCAGATAGTAATGCAATATGCTCTTGACCATCCCTCTATATAAAGTCATAAGGATAGCGGAAGGAATATGTACTTTTCTCTTGGAACACAAAAGTGTTGCACCACAAAAGTGGTGACAAGCCAACTTATTTGTCAGCTGCAAACTTGATGCTGCTAACCACCTCCATAGTTGACTCATTAATGCACAGAGGTGTCTAGCTGTGCCCGGTTTTTCTGAAATTGACAATGATTCCCCTCCCCCGCCCCCATCCCCGGTTTAAAATGAGACTATTTTTATTACACCAGTTCATCAAACCTTCTACCTTCTTGTGATAAGCTCTCTCATTGTCATCCTGAATAAGACCCATTACTGTTGTATCATCCACATACAATATGGTTGGTGGCAAACCTTGCATAACGGTCATGGGTCAGCAGGGTGAACAACAGCAGACTTAGGACACAGTCCTGAGGAGAAACTGTGTTCAAGAACGTTGTGTTAGAAGTATTAGTCCCAATTCATACATACTGGGGCCTATCAATAAGAAAATCAAGAATCCAGTTGCACAAAGGAGTGTTAAAGAATGATCGTATTAAATTATATTAAGTGCCAAACTAAAGTCAACAAACAGCATTCACACGTGAGTATTTCTTTCCTCTAAGTGCACCAAACTCAAGATAGAAGAAATAGCATCTTCTGTAGAGCAATTTGGATGGTAAGCAAACTGAAGCGAGTCAAGTGCTGGAGGGAGGCTGGATACAATAATGTCCTTTATCAGCCTTTCAAAACATTTTATAATGATGGATCTAAGTGCAACAGGATTGTAATCATTAAGACCCCTAATGGTAGATTTTTTTGACACTGGCAAAATAATGGCAGTCTTAAAACACGATGGGACCACTGCCTGCTACAATGAAAGTTGAAAATATCTGTAGGAAAACAAGCCAGCTCATCTGCACATTCCCTAAGAACACATCCAGGGATATTATCTGGGCTTGCTGCTTTCCGAATGTTAACTTTCCGCAATGTTCTCCAGACAGAGGTAACATCAAAGCTAAGTACTTGCATGTCAGGATGGGTCACAGCTTTCCTCACAGAAGTGCTATTTGATGCCTCAAATTTTCCAAAAAATGTGTTCAGCTCATTTAAAATGTCTGTGTTGCTCTTACAAGATAGAGCCACCTTATAGTCTGCAATGGTCCACATACACCTGGTTTTTGTAGGGAAAAGTTCTGAATTTTCTGACAATGGGCTTGCTTTGCAATTTTTATGGTGTTTTTCAAATTGACCCTGGCTGTTCTAAGTGCTAGCATATCACCAGATTTAAAAGCCACATTCCAAGCTTTCAACATCTTGTGACTCTCATAGTCCATGGTTTTGCATTAGCCCTCACAACAATGTTTTAAAGAGACGGATATCCTTAATGCACTTCTGAATATATGCAAACACAGTGATGGCATACTCCTCTAAATCTATGTTTTTTATCTGTTGTCACTTCTTTAAACATGCCCCAGTCCGTGCACTCAAAAGAATCTTGTAATGCTTCTATAGCTCCCTCCCTAGGCATATAAAAGGGTCTGCATTTGATAGTCAAAAGCTCCACATCAGGGGAGTACAGATTTGAGACCACCTTGGCATTATTGTACTATTTATCATTTATATAAAAACACACTCCTTTCAAGGAATTTGCCACTAAGAACAACGCTCCAGTCCAGCCAAAATGTTGAAAATCGCACCAACCTAACAGCACTATCAGGGACAGAGTGCTTTAAACAGGGTTTTGTTGCAATGATGACACAGGAGTTTCTCACCTCCTAGTTTGTTATTAAACTTGCAGTTTGGTTTTCTTGCAGAGGTTTTATTACCAAACTTGGTACCACCAACAGCACTAGGAGGGAGGGCAGTTTGTTCTTATTTTTAGATATTAGTGGCTTGCTCTGTCAGTATTGGTGAGAGTGTTCTTAGTGGCTCCTTGGTTAATATGTTTATTGTTACCTTGTTTGTCTGCATTACTGGTTCTTTCATTGGAACTTCCTGATTGTTGGTCTACTGTTAATCAGACAATTCCTGGAGGCCTGGCAATCAGACACAGTGGCCATCAACAGGCACATAGATATAAACAACATTTATATATCACTCAAAAAAGACAATCTAAAAGCCCAAAAAGAAATTTTAAAAACCCCAAAAACCTCCTCACCAGGAATGCAGTTTGGTAGTGAAATGTCTGCAAAAAAAAACCACCAAGCGCAGAGAGCATCAAGGATCCCTCAGAATGTAAACCTATACTATTCTGGAAAAATGGTCCTTTTCTTAAAAACCTCCAGTGATAAGAGCACCCACAACTTCTGAAGACAAACCCTTCCACTGATTAATTGTTCTTACTGTCAGAAAATTCCTCCTCCTAGGTCTCTTTGATAATCTTCCATCCATTTCGTCTTGTCCTCAGGTGCTTTGGAGAATAGATTGATTTGCTCTTCTCTGTGATAGCTTCTCAAATATTGGAACGCTGCTATCATGTTACCCATGTCCTTCACAGTTTCTGCAATTGTTCATTGTACTCCAGTCCCCTAATCATCTTTGTTGCTCTTCTCTATACACTTTCTAGAGTGTTAACATCTTTTTTATATTGTGGTGAGCAGAACTGGATGCAGTATTCCAAGCATGGTCTTACCAGTGCAGAATAAAGCAGTACTAACACTTCACATGATCTTGATACTAACCCTGTTGATGCCACATAAAACTATATTGCTTTTTTGGCAGCTTTTTTGGTAGCACGCAAACATACTCTCACTTTTTCCCTGCTACATTTAAAATGCCTTTATATGTTCTGGCTAGTTGAAAGAATGAAACAGGGAAATTTGCAACCTTACATTCATGTTATGAACAAATTCAGGTTATGTATAACATTCATGTTACAAAATCCCCAATAAACTACAATGTTATTCATCCATTTCCTCATCTTCCCTGGAATAACTGTAAGGATATCTTACACTACTTTATTTCCCTCACCCAAAATGATAACAACACAGTGTTATGTTGCAAGATTAGATAATAAAGTGTTTTTGTCCTGCGATTTTCTGGACTTCAAATACAACAATTAAAGTTTATACACATCTATAAAATTCCATGAGTCATTATATTCATGTATATCATTTTATGAATGTGTAGAATCCAATTCAAATTTTACATTCACTGTTGGATATCCCTTTTCCCTATTGATCTATTAATTGAATGGTTTACTGTATGATGATGACGGATTTCATCTGCATGCATTAAAGATAATTCTTAAGCATTGGTAATCCAGAATAATCACCAAGTTTTGTCCTTAGTTTTGCTTTTGGTAGATTCACTGCCTGGTTATTTCCAAATTATACCCACATTGTGTTGAAAGTTTTGATTTTTGGTTTTTTTTTTTAAAGAGCAGAAAATACTTTCTTACTAGGGTTTTTCTTCCTAAAGAGTCACCTTCTAGGGAGATGAGCAATAAACAAATTTAATATAAAAATATTTTGAAGATATGTTTCTTGAGATTGTGCATTTCACTAATTGTTAAAACACATTTCTTAGCTAAAAGACTGAAAAAAACTTTATTTCAGAGGAAGAGAGGAGATAATTGATATATTTCACCCAAGCCTGGTTTAGGGGGATGATAATTGATATATTTCACCCTGCCTTGTTTCCTCCTCCCAGCTCATGTTAACACCTACAAGTTTATGAAAAGATTTTGAACTCCCAAGAATTGCAGAAGCATTTTTAGAAGTAGAAATTATTTATCATTTATAAGAACAGTGATTAATGTAATATTGAGCAAGGATATTTCTAATACCTGCACACTGCTCAGCTGGCTTTGTTATCTATAACAGCAAGCTAAACAGAAATTTGGGGAATGAGAGGCAATCTAAAAAACTAGAGTTAGGATGACTCTGGGAAGGATTTAATCATATCAATTTTCTGTTTGATATGATGCTCTGCTATCATGCTTTACTGATAGCATTTACTGATGTCAGATTATGACCCTAATAAATTTAGACAAAAGCTGGATCATCACAAAAGCTGAAGAAAAAAATTATCCAGCTGAATTGTAGTAATCACTGAGAATATCTTGGATTGCTAGGACAGATAATCTACTTCTAGATAAAGTTGGACTGATCTGACTTTATTTGCAGTGAAGATAAAATTTAAGTGCTTTGGAAACCCAATGTCAAGGCAAGAGCCTTTGGGGGGGAAAAACCTGATTGCAATACTGACCCAATGACACGTGGCCTAGGAACAGAACGCAAAACTATTTTGAAACTTTGACAATGGATATAGTTCAAACATTTTGTAGTTTTCCGGCTTTTTCAGGTTTACATAAATCTTTTTTGAGCAATAAGATCCTTCCAGATACCCTGCTGTGAAGATCAGATTTTGATAGCAAATACCCAAAATTCTGTTCTTCAAATAAGGTAGGGCCTCTCACATTCACACCCAATTTTTATCTCATTGATGGAAACACTCACCTTCGAATGAACTGATAACCCTAGAGGTTCATATCTTTCTTCCCCCCCCACACAAATATGTAGTTTTGGATCATTTTCCTAAATAAATGAACAAGTGTAGATTTTTGACAGATCACATTTTATGTCATGCTGAAACACTGAAATTCAAAAAAAGTCACAAACTTTTAAGCACCACTGTACCAATTTTGAAGTTATTCCTTGTTTTCCCTTTTGTAATACCTGTCAATGGACAAAACAAGAATGATTTTTTTTAAAAAAGCAACAGATTTATGTAAGCAGATTTATATAAAAATGGTAGAGCTAAAGTAGAACACAGTAGAGATAATATAGGTACAAGAATCCTCTAAAAAATTAAAAGTACATTTGCCATTTAATGACCTTCAATTACATAAGACAGAATTTTAAGTTAGATTTCTTTTAATGTTTAATAAAGAAAACTATCTTGAGTCCTCACTGAACAAAAGCACTAATACATTTATGCTTCTTTTACAGCAGGCGGATTGCAGGATATTTGCTTATCAGAAAATCCAGGGAAATATAAACATTTTTCATATAATATGAAACCTGCCACAATAATGAAAGCAAAACACACCAGATCCAGGAATGAAAATAAAACTCTGCTATAGCATAAAGAGGGAGCCTGTTGGTTATTCATGGACATTTTAAAGTATCTTTAATGGTAGTTTTATCATTATTTTTATTTAAATGATCTATATTTTTTTAATGTATAATGCTGAGACTCGGGTATACCAACTTAATGGTTTCCTGTTCTTCACAGTAAGTAAAATTTGCATATGATTCTCTTTGTTTGCTTTAAGCTATTGTATTACTTCATTTTATTTCAGGTAATTTTTAAATGTTAATATCAAATGTAAAGAGTAACATTTTTCATACAAATCAGAGATTGTATAAAATGCATTTTTAATTTCCACAAAAAATGACTTTTTTCATTCATACAAAGAGTTTCCAACCAAATATTCTCTTTAATATAGTGTACTGACTGCCCCAGATCCTGGAGAATGAGTGGCTAAATATATATTGAAATTGTAATGGAGGTCTGTCAACCACTGCTCTTGAGCTTCATCACTTTTCAAGACCTGTGAATCAAAAAACATAACAATTACTTGAAATAGAAAAGAGAAAGTGTTTTCTTATTTATAACTCATGTAGATACAAATGTAAGATACAATAGTCCTTGACTTATGACCATTTATTTAACAATAATAAATAACAATTTATTTGAATTTATGACAATGCTATGTCAGGCCTGTCCCAGCTTGGACATTCAGGAAAGAAAGACCCTCGACTCAATTTGTAATGAAGTTATATGTTTACTGAAGCCAAGTACTAGTAGATATAGTATAACAAATGCAGATCTGAGGATTTCCCAATCATAATTTTCCCTTCTCCCAGGCCCTTCTCCTTTGATCATCATGGTGGTGTCCAATAAGGTTCAAATTTGGTATTTTAGTAACAGTTCCACAATTTAATGCCCCTTTGGATGGCCATTTCGCGTTCTATTCCCAGGCTTCTATCCTTGGATTTCAGTCATTGTCTTTGGATGGCACCTCTGGTTCCTGTCATCCCCCCATCTTCCCTTTCCCTCTCCCTACATTTTATGGCAGGCTGCCATCAAAGTGCAGCAAAGCTGAACTGAAGTGGTTTTTATGGCAATCTGACAAAATAAGTGACTTATGACCAGTACTCACACAATAGTAGCATCCCGTAATCACATGATCAAAATTCAGGTGCTTGGCAGCCAGCATGAATGAACAACAGTTGCAGCATTTTGGACCTACATGATCACCATTTGCAAATTTCCATTGGGCTTCAGACAAGCAAAGTCAGTAGGGGAGGATGGATTGCTTAATGACTACATTGATTCACTTATTGAGTATGGCAGAAAAGTTGTAAAATCAGGCACAACTCATTTAATAACCCCACCACTTAGCACCTGAGTGTCCAGTCCCAGTTGTGATTGTAAGTCAAGGACTACCTATACAATTATCTAGGAGACCCATAGAATACAAAGAAGGAAAGTTACTGATTTTTTTTTAAATTAAGAAAGCACGTATGTGTTTTGGTTTTACAATATTTATAACATGCCAAGCAATAGGCAAATTAACTTTGTCTACATGTTAGCAAGCAGATGCTTGTAATTAAAGAAATATGGAATTCCAGTTCAAGGCAAGAGCCTTGGTGGCGCAGCAGACTAAAACTGCTGTTAAAGTAGCACCTAGCTGCCAGCTGCCTGCAATTACTGCAAGTTCAATTCTCACCAGGCTCAAGGTTGACTCAGCCTTACATCCTTCCAAGGTAGGTAAAATGAGGACCCGGTTTGTGGGGGCAATAAGCTGACTTTGTATAAAATAGAACACCGCTTAGTGAGGGCCAAAAAGCTCTACTAAGCAGGTATATACAAAAGTATGAAGGATATTGCTTAACGCATTGTAAATCGCCCTGAGTCTCCAGAGAAGGGCGGCATATAAATCGAACAAATAATAGATAGATAGATAGATAGATAGATAGATAGATAGATAGATAGATAGATAGAATGGAAGTCAGTTAAAGTATTGCTATGGGTAAAAGTCTAATAGAACTCAATTTAATAAATCACTCAATTTTATGATTACATTTCTAAGCTACTACTGCAATCTAGTGACACTTGGCAACTTACATGACATGGAAAAATTAACATATATACAATCAATCTAAATGAATATATCAGGAAAGTGAAAAAAAGGGATGGCACTAACTGACTAGAATGCTTTCCCAAGCTTCTGAGTTTTTAAATCTTGAAGGCCATCAAAGAAGAAATAAATCTGATCTCTGCTTGGGGACTATTCCAGATAGTTGGTTCTGAAAAACAGGGTTTCCTAGTTTCACTCTTTACCTCCTGCAAGCAAAAAACTAGAAGCAGTATCTTTTTGGATAACCCAACTGGTCAGGTTGATTTGAGTAAGAGTAGGTTGTCTTACACGTATCCAGTGTCAAGACATAAATGGCTTTATGGGGAACCAGCATTTTAAATTATACCCAGAAATCAACTGAAAGTATCCTTCTAAATGCTGCAAAAAGTTTCTGCAGTGCCATAGACCTTGTTAAGGTAGCAGAACAAAGCAGTAAATGGCTCTATATCCAAGGCATAGAAAGTGGAGCAGTGGCATCTCGGAGGATGTGTCAGGAGGGCCAGGGCAGATGGGCTTGGGCCTGTGCTAGGCTTCCAAGGACCTCCCCCACCCTGAGGCATCCTGCAGGTTTGTTAGATTCATTAGAAAGAGCTGGAATGGGGAAATTGTTAGGTGAAACACTTAAATGTGGTATCATAATGGGCAGGCTCCATTACAGTCATATCTCGAGGACTATCTGTAAGCTTCCTTTTAGTTGGCCAATATGAGAACTCGAAGCTGGATCAGTTGTTCAGTCCAGCAAGGCACTACTTATATTCTTATGTTCTTAATACAGTTGGCAGCTTCCACACTTGTAAGAAGACAATGACAACCACTAATTTCCAGAGAGTCTAATGCACAGTGAAGCCAGGATAGCCAGAATACTATGTTATCCAGGTGGCAGAAGATAACATAGAAAGTGCCCTATTCACTTCTGAGTTTATATGTCAAAAGAAACTACAGATAATATGGCAAGATCACCAAAATTTATCATAATCCATTAAAATTTAGGAAGCTAAATGTAAAAATATTAATTGTGGTCTGTAGAATTTATTAAGATCTCTTAAATCTCAATCTCTCTCTCTCTCTCTGTCTGTCTCTCTCCCTCCCTCCCTTCCTCTCTCCCTCTATGTGTGTGTGTGCATACACAAACACACACACACACACACACATACATACATACATACATACATACATACATTCTTATATAGATAATGAAGTTATCATCAGATCATTGATAGTCAATACAACTGGATCCTTTTGTTGCTAATCTGTCATCCTTAAGTTATGAAGACAAATTCTGATGGAATATAAAGAAAATTTTAAAAGAATTATATGCTCACATACAGTTCTGCCTTCAATCCAAACTAGGAAGGAATAAAGACAGAATATTGTAATGCTATTTCCTAAGTTTGGAAGCAGAAAAAATTGATTAGTCCTTGCCTACTGGAATTGGGGGTTAAAATGGAAATTATTTTTGGAGAAAGCCCACTATCATTCTTATGATAGAAAAGAGAAGAATGACTCTTTATCCTTCAATGACTAATGGGCCAACTTCTTTCAGCCTTCTTTGTGACCAGTTGCTTGGAAGACCAACCAAGACCATGAGAAAAACTGTTACTTTCCAATTCTATGAGACAACAACTTGGCTTCAACAGCCAGTGACTGAGAATAGGATCCTTACCACAATATCTTTGACAATCTGTTTCACCAGGAACTCACTGGTCTTCATATGAGTCTGAAGCTGCCTGTGTTGCATTAGCAAACAAAGAAGCTGAGCAAGAACAGGCAATTCATCCCGGGAGGCTTGGTTCACTTGAAGAGACTGCAACATCATTCTCAAGATTTGAAGTGAGGTGCTTAAAATTGAGATACAGGAACTCCACAGTACATCCCTGAAACCGAAGTTGAGGAAGGGTGGGAAAAGTAGATGTGCACAAGTTTAGCTAGATTTATAGTAAGAAAGGAGTAATTTCAAACCAGGCAAATAACCACATTTATTACTTGTACTATAACTGTATGTTTAGCCCAGAATCATATGCAAGTCAGATGGGCAGCCATATAAATTTAATAAATACATAAAAAGTAAATATAAAGAATTTGTAGATATAATTTATTTGCAGTCTCCAAGGGGCTGACAATTTATTACAAATTTACAATTGTAAAAAATTCAGTCATTTTGTCTACAGCTATTGTTAAAAATGGGAACAGTGAGCTTTCTGCCCCACAGTTAATTGTGAGAATTTATTATGTATTGATCATTACTAAATTAAAAACATCCAAGCCTGGCTTAAGCTTGTCTTTCAGGACAGAATTTCCCACAAGAAAAAAATTATACTAAAGTAAATTTCATAAAATGTAATATTACTTTTAGAATATTGTAAAAAAGGAAAAACAAATCTTAATCAGAAATTCAAAGTCCACAGTGATTACTGTCAAAGTAGTTAGTCCTCAATTTACAATTGGTCATTTAATGACCTTCACAGTCAGACAGTCATAGAACAGGTGCTTTATGACCTATAAAGTACTTCTGTGCATTGTGCCAGTGTCTTTGGTCATATGATCATATTTTGGGTGCCAGACAATCTGTTCATATTTACAAGCAGTTCCCAAGTGTTCTGCAATCAGATGATAGTTATTTGCAATCTTTGCTGGCTTCCCCAGAAAATAATGAAGAAGTCAGCAGGGAAAGTTGCAAGTCTTTCTTAGAAAATAGGATTTGACGTCCATTCCCCCATATGCCAAGGTGTTATTTTTTCCCTCTGCATGAAGGGGAAATCCTCTTGTGCAGTGGATTAACAGACTTCATTTCTGCTAGTGAGCTTTTCAGAACACTGGTGTTTGCTAGCGTTTTCTCTCTAAATGCCAGCATTCAGACAGGAAAATGCTAGTAAAGTCCAGCATTCTGAGCCCAAGGGAAAAGCTAGCAAACACCAGCATTCTAAGCTTTCCAGAATGCT